ATTAATTGGTGCCCATATGGGATCCTGGTGCATGCAAGGTGAGGACTTTAGCCACTAAGCTATGACGTTAGGTCCACAAATAAATCTTAAAAAAAAAATTGCTGGCACTGCAGGTGGTGGCTTACTGCTGCCTACCGACACTGGGCCATCCCCATCTCTATTTGGACATCTGATCAATATTTGAAATGCAGGCATGTCCAGAACGGAACCCTGGATCAATTTGCAAAGCCCATTCTGCCTGGAGCTTCACCTTGAGACACGCATCAGTACCCTCTCCTGCAGTGCCTACTGAGAGCTCTATTTGATATCAGATCTCAACTCACGCTGTCCACAATGAAGCAATGTTCTTCCCACCAGCCTGGTTCTCCTCTATCTTTTCTAGCTTAAGTTCAAGGGAGCCCTACTTACAGCTGAGGCCTTTGCTGTCTCGCGCATTTGCCAATGCAGCTCTGAACTGTCAATCCCTTTTCTATTGGCGTCCCCAACCATTAGATAAACTATTATACTGATCATACAGCTCCATCAGAATAGAAACTCCATGGCGCAGGACTTTTGTATGTATTGATTTTTTCTGTCTGGTGTGGGTTAGGGTTTCGATGTCCAGCAGGCTGCATTTCTGTTACATAATGGTTGTACCTTCATCTTTCTGCCTTCCAAAGTCTCCTACAAGTGAAACAATCTACTGCGATTCCATAGTCATGAAACCAAACAAAGTATCAACCCCACAGTTTTATTTGTAAAGAACAAAGCATGAAAAGTCATATTTAAATGTATTCCAAAACCTGAAAAACCCACGTTTGTCTGATATGTATGTTAAAGTGCTTAATATCACAATACTCTTTAGTTCTGCATTACGTTCAGATGGGAAAGAAAATCCAGTTCTGATGCATTTTGTTGTGGACACAGAGGAAAACAATTTAAATGTAGAATGCTGTAATTAAAAAAAAAAATACACAGGGTACATTTACACATGCTGGGTTTCTTCTGTGTGTACCACACCCTCACGTGATTGATAACAGGAACCCCCCACTATGCATCTCCACTGTCAACAAGATCTGGTGTTGAGAGTAAAGACTGGATTTGCACCCAAGTATTTCTGCAGGCAGCTGTCCAAGCATGGGTCCCTCCCACATAACCAAGGGGCCCTGAGTCCCTTCAGAAAGGAGACATTCCACAGTGTTTCTCTTGCCTATCAGTGGCGGCTCAGCACAGTCCCTTTGTCCAGTGGGTCCCCGCAAGGGCCACAGGGTCTAACTTGGGGGCGGGGGGGAGGGCTCTTCTTCATGATGCATTAGCCACCTGTTCAGAAAGCTGGGGATTCCATTCAACTCAACAGGTTTCTCAGTGTTTTTCAGAGGAATATAGGACCTTGTGGTTTATATTTCTTTCCTTCTATTGATGTTAAGTGGTTAATGGAAGTAACACAGAAGAGGGAAAAAGCATCCATGTTAACAAAAACAGACAAGGGCTCAAGACTGTTCTAAGTAAGGAAGTTGTGGGCAGTACTGAGAAATCCACAGCTCGAGTTAACCCGTCTCTTCCAGGGCGAAAAGGAGAGACTAGCTTCGGTAAACCTCAGTCATCCTCACAGCTCCTGAAATGAAGAATGCACTAAACCCTGACTCTGAGCAGACAGGAGACCTCCAGCCCTGGCCTCCCAGCTAAGGAGTCCTGGGGGTGGGGCTCAGTGCCGGGGTGAAGCACCTTGGGGCTGACAACACACGCTACAGACATCCAGGTCTGGGCAGCTGCTACCAACCTGCCTTTCTCCTGGACATTCCCACACGGCAGTACTTTATTGCCAACAAAGGAAACTGCCCGGCATCATCATTCATGTAGTGTCAATGGTGCTCACCATGCTTCCTTTACAGCCGTCATGTTAAGTAAATCCCACAGGGTTACCAAAGGGATGAGAATACCTCCAACATCTGAAGTTTAGATGGAAATCTACACTTTCTCAAGTTTCAGGTTTCCTATGTAAAGTTCTCACGTGGGGTGGGAAGTTTTTGTTTCTGAAGCCTGGTTTTCCCACCTGCAGCTGTACTTTGTACTCCTTTACAAGAGGTGCCATCCCATCGTTTTCAAGGTGGCCCAGCTAGGGCACACGGACGACCTCACACGTGATGCCAACACTGGCGGAATGCTGCTATGCCGGAAAGACAGAGGGGTTTCATATTTAGAAAAATAAAAAACTTCAAAAATAAAATTTTTCAGAGGTAATATTTTGGGCAGTTTAACTTTACAAGTTTCTTCTGAAGCTATTATTATGTGAAAAATATGAATTATGGCCCCGGGGTATTTAGATTTTATTTGCAAAGAATAAAAATCAACTATAAAGCTGACTTTTACTTATATCTAAGATGGAACTCTAAAGCAACATATTAATTTTAAAGTTGACCCCAGACTCGGCTGACGTGCTCCTTATATTCATGGGCCTTGGACTCCAAGGACTTCATGCTGTTTGCAAATATCACAGGGGTTCTGAGATGAAGGTTACAGTCCCCGGTGTGCTCAGGCTGCACAGGAAGTTCACAGCCAGCCTAGGACACGGGACAGTGGTCCTCAGTTCCTCTGTGTTTGTCACTGTGTCGTTACTACCACACACACAGTGGGATGGGATTCTAGGGTGCGGGAGCGAGTACTACTTCTAAAGTAGTGGTTTAATTCGTGAGCCCCAAATCCAACTTGGCTTCCAGCTTTTACAGACATAATTCCTGATAGCTTAAGAGTAGCATGTTAAAATGCGCATTAACTCCCATAAGGGAGCATTATGTTCTCGCTATACAGGCAGGCGAATAAAGAGCCATGAGGACAGACTATCACTGACAACAAGGTGTGTCGGTCTCAGACTAGACGATGTGATACGAAAATATGAATCTTGGGCCTGGTGCCATGGCCTAGCAGCTAAAGTCCTTGCCTTGAACGCACCGGGATCCCATATGGGTGCAGGTTTGTGTGCCAGGCAGCTCCACTTCCCATCCAGCTCCCTGCTTGTGCCCTGGGAAGGCAGTCAAGGACAGCCCAAAGCCTTGGGACCCTGCATCCGCGTGGGAGACCTGGAAGAGGTGCTGGGTTCCTGGCTTTGGATTGGCTCAGCTCCAGCCATTGCGGTCACTTTGGGAGTGAACCATCAGATGAAAGATCTTCCTCTCTAACTCTCTTCCTCTCTGTATGTCTGACTTTGTAATAAAAATAAATAAATCTTTAAAGAAAGGAAGAAAATATGAATCTTATTTCTTGTGTAAGTGCATGGCCAGCAATGGCCAGCCAGGGCAGGGGTGACAATTTCGGCTCTGGTCTATCGAGTGTTCGCATCTATGAAATGCAAGCCTGGGTCATATGGCTCAAGGCCCCAGCGTTAATCCAAGTCCTCTCCAGCTGCCTGCAGTGGGTGTCAGAGAGGCACCTCACAGAGACGGCACCTGGACCCTCCTAGAGCCCGCCATTCTGTAGTTTCTCATCTCCAACATGACAGGAGCCCAGGTACTGTTCTCGGTGACTCCAGAACGGATACCCAGATCCCTGCAAAGCTGCACCAATTCAGGGAGACACATCCCAGGCCTGCCCAGGCTTTTTCATTGGCATCTCAGCACAGTACAGCCACCCTCTTCCACCCATCAACACGGGCTGTGGCTGCCTGAGTTCAGGACCTGGTGCAGGGAAAGAGGCACTGACTTAGTGAGTTTCTTCTTATGTGGATGGCCCAGGCCCAGCTCCTCAGATTACCTGTCCTGTAGGCAGGTGCCGCCATTGTGGCAAACTGGGAGAAGCCCCTGCTTGGGATGGTGGCATGCTACATCTGAGTGCCTGACGTGAGTCCTGACCAAGCCGCTTCCCATCCAGCTTCCTGTTATTGTCCAGTACTTCAGGCCCTGCCATCCAACTAGGAAATCCTGGTGGACTTTGGGGCTCCTGGCTTCAGCCTGGCCCAGATCCAGCTGTGACAAGCATCTGGGGAGTGAGCCAGAAGATGGAAGCGCTCTCCATTGCTCTTTGACTCTGCCTTTCAAATAAATAAATAAATAAATACAACTTAAAAAATATATATGTATAAAATGCTGCTGGAAGGTCAAGGCCAGGCTTCACTGGCATTGGGCATGAGTAGATGCTCAGAGGAGCCTCAGAGCCAAGGGGCTGGAGCCCGGGTACTGGCTCTTGCCCAGGTCCTCTGCGGAACGTCATTTGGCAGTCTCTTCCCACCTGCCAGGCAGCGGCCTTCCCTCCTCCTGCTCCCGCAGTCACTAAGCACCCCTCAGGGGCTTCTGCCTGCCCTGGGCCAGTCTCACAGGGGAACGCAAAGCGGGCCCTGAGATGCCACACCCAGCCAGGGCTCCTTCAGCTCAATTCTTTGCATTATCAAGGGCAAACAAACATGTCCACAAAAATATCCCCTGCCTCCTGGAGTCTCCGCTTCCTGGGGGTGGGCCTGGGAGGAGTGAGGGGGGCCTAACAAGGGTGGGCCCAGGACCACTGCCTGCTGCTGGAGGTCCTGAACGCCTTCACATTCACAGTCTCTCAAAGACCAACAAGGATAGGAATACAACACCAAAGATGAAGCCAGCTCAGGCTCCGGAGCGTGAAGCAGTTAGAATCCGGCACAGCAGCCACGAGCTGTGGATTCTGTTTAAAATACTTGAGTTCTAGTTCTGTCTGGTGCCAACTGAAAAAAAATGTTTCTAAAATACTGGAAAAGTGACTCACCATTCAAATACATCAAATGGTCTGTAACTTAGAAGACGCAAGTGAAGACTTGGTACGGTGGGTGTGGCTGTGGACACTCACAGTGCATGGGGACAGACAGCAGGTGGATGGGTGGATGGCTCGGACGCGAGGACGTGTTCTGGTTCCTTTGTGTTGGAGAGAAAGCGAGCCTGCAGCCCGGGGGGAGGGCTCCAGGCTTCCTCCTGACTAGCACCACGCTTCCGCAACTCCCAGTGTTTTTAAGCTACTTCTTTTAAGTCACAGGAATATTCAATCTAAGAAAAGTATTTCAGTAGAGTAATATAATTTCTTAAAGAAGATAGTATATTTACACACATCTAGCACATGAAAATACTCTATTTTATACTAAATTCCAGGTTCAAATGAACTACAATACAGCATTTTGCCTGGCCTGTAGAGTGAGCATCATTCCAACTGGAGCATCCGGCGTGCTGCTCCCTGCACTGACTCACTTAGCCAGACAAGTTCCGATGGGTCCCCACGGCGGGGGCAGGCTCGGGAGCCAGGGGTCAGGACAGAGGTTCTAGCCAGCGGGGCTACACGTCCACCCCTTTGATCAGCGAACCTTCTAAGACGATGCTGAAGTCCTGGATGGTGTGCAGGATCCGGATGAGGGAGTTGACAGTCATGCGGTCCCGCAGGAGGGCACTCTCCTCGTACATCCTAGTGATGGCGGGACATTCGGCCAGCAGTGGGATCCACTGTGGGAGGAGGTGATCCCTGCGGACCCAGACACAGACAGATGTGAGCTGCAAGGAGCTGGAGCAACCAAAGAAACCCCTCAGATCCCCCGAGCGGATGAGACAATCTAGGTGTAATCAATAAGTTCTCAATTCTGATCTTGCCAACTTTACAAAGAGATGGAATGTCACTTTCTGCATCACTTTTACAGTGCTGATAGCATGTACGTATGTGTTGATTTGAAAGGTAGAGTGAGCAAGAGAGAAAGAGCTCTGGCATCCACTCGCTCACTCCCCAGAGCGCCACAGCAGCCAGGCAGGAGCCAGGAACCAGGAACTCCATCCACATTTCCCACGTAGCTGCAGGGGCCCGAGCAGCCAAGATGCTGGCTGGGATGCCTGCATTCCTTTCCAGAGTGCCTGGGTTCAAGGCCCAGCTCTGCTTCCAATTCCAGCTTCTTCCTAACATGCACCCCTTGAAGACAGCTGGTGATGCCGGAAGTACTTAGGTCTCTGTCACCCATGTGGGAGGTCTGGGTAGAATTCCTGGCTCTTGGTTCCAGCCTGGCTGTTGTGGACTTTTGGGGCACAGATGAACAGATGTAACCATCTGTCTGCTGCTCACTGCCTTTCAAATAAAATAAAGATACATACAAATAAAGATTAAAGAGAGTAAAGAGCTAGGGAACAGTCTTTAAAAGAGTTGGCACTCACATAGCGAGAACTGCACCCACAATGACATTAAACCAGAAGTGATACAGTGGTCTGTCATAACACAGGGTCTACAGAGTAACCCCCACTTCACACATGCAGGGTGTCCAGCCTTCCATGGACCTGGTCACTGACTCGCCAGGGCTTCTGCTGCCCGGACCCAGAGCTGGGATGGCTGTGAGGCCTGGCTCTGCCTCGTTCTTGTTGTGTGACCTTGGCAAAGTCTGCCAGCGCATCCGTTTCTCAACTGTTGCCTCATCTACACAATCACAGGACTGCAGGCTGCTCTGTGTAAGGGGGTGAGGCAACAGGAGGGTACCCAGCAAGCGGCGATCGCACAGTGAAAGGAACTCAAAGGACAGCTTTGGAGGGGGGGGCATGATGTAGAGCAATGCTCTCTGGACCCCCGTTCAACATGCAAGAGAGATAGGAAAAACTGGTTTTAGTACCGTGTTCCAAGACAGACTAAAATCTGGAATTTGCCGTCCTTCCCAATGTTTCTGGGTGCAGTGTTGATGGCGTTCACATAGTGGCAGAAGGTTTTGCAGGATGATTTCTGGATAAGGACATCATCTTCATTGTCCAGAATCTGGTCAGTGGTTTCAAAATAGGTAACTGCTTTCTCTGTGGAAGGAAAACAGACTTGCTTTACAGTGCACTCCAGCACCTCCTCCACAGAAAGACTCATGAACGCTTTTTTTTTTTTTTAAGATTTATTTAGGGCCTGGCGTGGTGGCCTAGCAGCTGAAGTCCTTGCCTTGAACGTGCCAGGATCCCATATGGCCGCTGGTAAACGTGGGAGACCTGGAGGAAGTTCCTGACTTCTGGCTTCAGATCGGCTCGGCACTGGCCATTGTGGTCACTTGGGGAGTGAATCATTGGATGGAAGATCTTCCTCTCTGTCTCTCCTCCTCTCTGTATATCTGACTTTCCAATAAAAATAAATCTTTAAATAAAAATAAATCTATTTTTACTTTATTTATTTTTATTTTATTTTTATTGCAAAGTCAGATATACAGAGAAGGAGAGAGGAAGATCTTCCATCCAGTGATTCACTCCCCAAGTGGCTTCAATGGCCAGAGCAGAGCAAATCTGAAGCCAGGAGCCAGGAGCCAGGAGCCAGGATCTCTTTCAAGACTCTCATGTGAGTGCAGAGTGCCAAGGCTTTGGGCCGTTCTCAACTGCTTTCCCAGGCCACAAGCAGGGAGCTGGATGGGAAGTAGAGCTGCTGGGATTAGAACTGGCGCTCATATGGGATCCTGGTGCATTTAGGACGAGGACTTTAGCCGCTAGGGCACAGCACTAGGCCCGAGCCAGAGTCTTTTAAAGAATAAGTAACTAGCTGGATAGGAAACAGAGCTGCTGGGATTGGAACCAGCACCCATGATGGTTCCCAGCGTGTGCAAGTTGAGGACTTTAGCTGCTAGGCTACTATGCCAGGCCCATGAATACATTTTTAAAACACCAATGATGCTTGTAATACTGCAAACCTTAGGGTCAATGTCATTATTTTATCGCTGATTACAGATCAAGTTCCAGACTCCATGTCTCATGGAAAACAATATGCTGGCAGGAATTTACTTACTAACCTACACTGTGTTCCAGAAGATCGAAAAGTTTACTCTTTTTAAAAAATATCTTAATGAAGTGACAAAAAGAAACAAAATATTCTGAGACTGGAACTTTTTTTTTTTTTTTAAGATTTATTTGTTTCTATTGAAAAGGCAGATATACAGAGAGGAGGAGAGACAAAGAGAAATGTCTTCTTTCTGATGATCACTCCCCAAGTGGCTGCAACGGATGGTGCTGAGCTGATTGGAAGCCGGGAGCCAGGAGCTTCTTCCAGGTCTCCCACATGGGTGCAGGCTCCCAAGGCTTTGGACCATCCCTGACTATTTTCTCAGGCCACAAGCCAAGGAGCTGGATGGGAAGTAGAGCAGCTGGGATATGCACTGGCGCCTCTTATGGGATCCTGGAACTTACAATGGGAGGATCCCAGCCACTAGGCTACTTCACTGGGCCAAGACTTAAACTTTCTCAGAGTAACTAGTAGTGATACCATGGCCCCTAAGATGTCCCCTGGTGTGACAGGGGCCTCACAGTGTGCCTGGATAAGTGAATTCCAGGAAGGGCGACGCGGACACACAGCACAGGCACGAGCACTAAGAACTCAGACATTCCACAAAGAAAAATAATCACTCCTGGAGCCCCACCTCTCTACTCGGCTTTCTTTGTCTAAAACCCGTGTGTTAGATGAAATCACCCCCATCCCGTGGAGGCCTGACTTCTAAAACACAAGAATGACTGATTGCTCCATTAGACAAACTGGGGATTCCAGAAGAACAGCATACCAACCAGAGATCCTGAAGCCGAGCAGGCTGGGGCAGCCCTGAGCTGGAAGCCTCTGCCTGTGAGGCCCCTTGGGCAGCCACAGAGCACAGGGGGCTCCAGAGCACTGCAACGTGGCAGCGGGACGAAGGAAGCCACTTTTAAACACAAGTGGAGTTAAATCAATTTAAACAGCCACCTGCTACCAGTGGTTACCCTTCTGGCTACCAAAGAGCCAGAGTCTTTTATTTTTACTTATTTTTTAAAAAAAGATTTATTTATTTATATTGGAAAGTGAGATATACAGAGAGGAGGAGAGACAGAGAGGAAGATCTTCTGTCCGATGACTCACTCCCCAAGTGAGCGCAACGGCCGGTGCTGTGCCAATCCAAAGCCAGGAGCCGGGAACCTCCTCCAGGTCTGCCATGCAGGTGCAGGGTCCCAAGGCTTTGGGCTGTCCTCCACTGCTTTCCCAGGCCACAAGCAGGGAGCTGGATGGGAAGTAGAGCTGCTGGGATTAGAACTGGCGCTCATATGGGATCCTGGTGCATTTAGGACGAGGACTTTAGCCGCTAGGGCACAGCACTAGGCCCGAGCCAGAGTCTTTTAAAGAATAAGTAACTAGTAGCTCGAGGCCTTCCAATGGCTTCCATTTCATTCAGGATAAATGGCAAGTCTTTCTGGTGAGCCAGAAGGCTGCACAGAGGCCGGCTCTGGCACACACAATCTGATCTCTGAATCTCCTGGCCCTCATGACTCAGCTTAGACCCACTGGGTCAGCAAACGCTTCTTGGCGGCTGCACACGGCTGGTCGTTTCTGCAGACACAAAGCTCTCCCTCCTCCCCCACAGCTCGGTGAATCACCTCTACTATTCGTCGCCCACTTTGTCCGGACAGCAAAGCCTACCACGGCCCCTTCACAGGCATGCACCCACTCCATTTCTTCTCTCTGTGCCCCGCTGTTTTCCAGGTGGCTGACTGCTGCCACTCCGAGTCACTTCCTATTGCTCTGCTTTTGTGATTGTTGGCTGCCCAGCCCCCATCGGAGTGTGAGTCTGTCAGCCTCAGGGATCGGCTTCGTTTACTGGTGCATCTTCCGAGCATCTCGAGTAGACTATGGGGCACTAAAAACATTTGTTGAGTGGATGAAAAATGGTGGATGTTGGGTATTTGTTTCTAAATATGCTCCCCTTATCACTCACTCAAATCCTGGGGTTACTGAGTTTTCCTAAGAAAACTGGCAATATGGGTCTGGCATGGTAGCCTAGTGGCTAAATCCTTGTTTTGCACCTCCTGGGATCCCATATGGGCACTGGTCCATGTCCCAGTTGCTCCACTCCCCACCAAGCTCCCTGCTTGTGGCTTGGGAAGGCAGTCGAGGACGGCCCAAAGCCTTGGGACCCTGCACCCATGTGGGAGACCAGGAAGAGGCTGCTGGCTGGTGACTTTTGGACTGGCTCAGCTGCAGCCATTGTGGTCACTTAGGGAGTAAACCAGTGGACAGAAGGTCATTCTCTCTGTCTCTCCTTTTCTGTCAATCTGCCAATAAGAATAAATAGATCTTAGGAAACAAAAAAAAAAAAACAAGAGAAGAAAAGTGGCAGCATGCATGGCCCTTATTTACCTATGAAGTCCCAGATGAAGACGTTCTTGTGAAAGATGCGGGCCGACTTGAACCCATGGTGGAAAACCTGCTCCAGCGCTGCCACCAGGCCGTTCTCCCCGCACAGCAGGACTGTGAGGCTTCCTCTCTGTGGGACAGAACACACAGTGTGTCTAAGAGAAAGCCCTGCTTGTGCAAGGAGGGCAGGGGAAGTCCTGACGAGCGTGTCTGCAGCTTGTCGCTGGAAGCGAACGGGAAGAGCCAAGCAGCACCTGTGGCCGTGCCGGGTGCAGAAGGGGCGTTTACAGCCCCGCCACACTGACTTACCTCTTTCTCAGGTTTGTGAAAATGTTTCACGATATTGTTCACAGCTTCGCCAATGCCTTCTTGGATCTGTCCGGCACTGGGTTCTGTAAAACAATAGACAATTGCTATAAACTCACGCCAGGCAAAGAAACTAGGATCAACCGTGTCCACCGGTGCAAGATACACTTCAAGCTGGCCGCTGGCAAGACCCTCCCCATGGTGAAAGAAGGTGGGAGATGTCTAGGTACACTCATCTTCAGTAACTCTCAGTAAGGCTCGTTTCTCTGCATTTCCTTAGCTGAAAGCAGGGGAAACACCCGCCTTCCTGGAACACTGAACGAGCCAAGAGCTCCAGTCAGCCTGCGCAGAGGGAGGGCATACCCAGACCCCTGAGTGGCTGCTGCCTGCTCCTTCAAGCTCCTGCCTTTGCGTCCTGCCCTCTGGTCACAAGTTGAGGCTTTGGGCGTTCTGCGTGGCAGACCTGGAGTTCCGAGTCCAGCTGCGGGAAGGAAGGCACCCTGTGGGACCTACTTCCCTCCCTGGCTGGCTCGTCTGTCTTTGCTTTGATCTTGCAGCAGAGTCCACTCCTCCCGGCTGCCTTCCTCAGTAAGCTGGTGTGCTGGCTGCATGAGATCTAATGTACCAGAGCCTACCAGATTCCAAGAATGGTTAGAAGACAAAGGAGGACCAGTGTATGGCCTGCTGATTAAATGCCATGTTGAACACCTGCAGTCCACATCCAAATGTCGAACTTGAATTTCAGCTCTGCGTCTTCTTTCTTATATACAAGGCTTACTTATTTATTTGAAAGTCTGAGTTACTGGGAAGAGTGGGGAGGGAGGGAGGGAGAGGCAGAGAAAGACAGCAAGAGAACAAGAGGCACAAGAGGCAGGCATCTTCTGGCGGCAACAGCTAGGGGCCAGTCTAGGCTGAAGTCAGGACCCTGGACTGCCACCCGGGTCTCCCATGTGGGTGGAAAGGGATCAGGTACTTAGGCCAACTTATACTGCTTTCCCAGGCACATCAGCAGCCAGCTGAATCAGCAGTGGAGCGGCTGGGTCTTGAACCATAGGGGAGCTCATAGGAGCTGCTGCCATTATAGGCAGCACCTCAAGCAGCTGCGTCACACTCGTGGTCCCTCACCTCTACTTCTGATTTTAGTTTCTTGATACTGCGCATCCCGGGACAGTGGCTGATGGCTCGAGCACCTGATCTGACATTCACAAAGGAAATCCAGAGTGATTTCTGGACTCCTCGCTCTGGGCTGGCCCAGCCTTGGTTACCACGGACATTTGAGAAACAAATCAGTAGGTGGAATTCTGTCCCTCATCTCCACCTTTTAAATCAAAACAAACAAGTAAATAAAAACTAAGAAAGAGGTGGTAAACATAAATCATCTAGGATCGGAAGTAGGTATAGTATATAATAATGGGTGCAAGGGAACCACTTAGGGTTCAAACACTGACACTCTGGCCTAGCTCCGGTTCGTGTCCTGGCAGCTCCACTTCCCATCCAGCTCCCTGCTTGTGGCCTGGGAAAGCAGTGGAGGACGGCCCAAAGCCTTGGGACCCTGCACCCATATGGGAGGCCTGAAAGAAGCTGCTTTTTGTGGCTCCTGGCTTCGGACTGGCTCAGCTCTGGCCGCTGCAGCCACCTGGGGAGTGAACCAGCACATGGATGATATATTCTTTGTCTCTCCTCTCTGTTACTCTGCCTTTCTAATAAGAATAAATAAATCTTTAAAAAAATGTATTTGTTTACTTGAAAGGCAGAGTGACAGAAAGAGAGCAAGAGACAGAGAAATCTTGTACCTACTGGTTCACTGCCCAAACATCTATACCAGCTATGACTGGGCCAGGCAGGAGCCAGGAGCCAGGTACTTGACCCAGCTCTCCCACATGGGCAACAGGAACACAACTACTTGGCCATCACCCACTGCCTTCCCAGACGCAGTAGCAGGAAGCTATACTAGAAATAGAGCATCCAGGACATGAATTAATACTCCAATATGGGAAGTGGGCACATCAAGCAGTGGCTTCACCTGCCATAACTCAATGTCCTTCCCCATCGAATGCCCACACGAAGCTTGTGACACCTGAAGCACACTGGAAAATTCAGCAGCGACTCACTGGCCGGCTTTCCTGTTAGGGAGGTGATGCTCAGTCTCCGAGCCATGGTGGGAGACTTCTGCTGGGGTGGAGTCCGACACTGCTTTACCAGGTCCTCGTCAGAGGCTGAAGTCATCAGTTCTCCAATCAGAATTCTCTCCAGGCTCCCGTCATCAATGCCTTTCCCCAGCCACCGACCACAGGGGAAGCTGAGAGGGCAGAAGAAAATGTCAGAATCAGGAATTTTTAACTTGTTTTAACTTTAGTTTTAAAAATGGTGTTGGAGTAAAGCCCACCCTTGTAACGGCTCTGGTTGTTCTTAAAGTATGGATGCTTCCCAAAATGTAGAAAAATCAGATAGTACAAAGGCACTTCACAAAGTTCGTGGGTAAATACAGTTAATTTTTGCACCTCATCTTTGAAATCTTCAAACAGCTGTTTCATGATATGCATTTTCCAAGAACTTTTTGAAGATCTTTCTCTTATCAGACACTCCTAAATTCTTTTCACCTAGACTTACATTTTATCATAGTTCATTTTTATTTGAAATATTGGAAAGTGACTTTGGACCGTTCATTCCTAGAACCACTTCAGCGTGGGTCTCAGAAGTAGGAGGAACAGGTATTAGAGCTCTCTGGGCCCCCTGCAGCCCCTGTCAGAGAACCGGGTAACCGGGTGCGTGTGGAGGACAGCAGATGACGGCTGAGGCTGAGGTGCTGGAGTCCCCTCCACCCACCAGGGGACCCATGGTCCTGTCTTCCAGCTTGGACCTGGCCCTGCCACACTGTCAGCATCTTTAGGGTGAATCATCAGACTGCAGATTTATCTCTCTCTGACCCTGTGCCTTTCAAATAAATACATAAATCTTTTAAAAAGTTGTAAAAAAAAAATTGTAAAAAACTGAACCACAAAGTGTTATCACATTTCCCAACACTAAAAAAAAAAAAGTTTCTTATCTTCTTTTACCTAGTCTGTATTAAAGTTTTCTGCTTAGTTTTGCAAAGAATGTTTAAAGGTTCAATTTTATTATTTGAGAAGCAGAGGAAAGAAAAAGACAAGAGAGCTCCATCTGCTGTTCACACTCACAAGGCCCACAATGACTAGGCTGGGCTGAAGCCGGCAGAGAGGTGGGAGCGAGGACTGCAATCCGTGTTGCTCACGTAGGTGACAGCAATTCAATTACTATTATTATTTTAAATATGTATTGATTTTTATTGGAAAATTATACGTACAGAGAGGAATATCCTCTGTCTGCTGATTCACTCCCCAAGTGGCCACAAGAGCTGGAACAGAGCTGATCTGAAGCCAGGAGCCAGGAGTCTCCGCCGGGTCTCCCACACAGGTGCAAGGTCCTAAGGCTTTGGGCCGTCCTCAACTATTTTCTCAGGCCACGAGCAGGGAGCTGGATGGGAAGTGGGGCTACTGGGACACCAACTGGCACCCATATGGGATCTTAGCGCGTGCAAAGCAAGGACTTTAGCCATCAAGCTACTGCAGCAGGCCCTATTATTATTTTTCAATATTTACTTAATTTTATTGGAAAGGCATATTTAGAGAGGAGAGAGAGAGAGAGAAAGATTTTCTATCCACTGATGCATTACCCAAGTGGCTGCAATGGCTAGAGTTGAGCTGATCTGAAGCCAGGAGTCAGAAAAAGAGAGAGTGTTTTCCAGGATCTCTCATGTGGGGTTAGGGTCCCAAGGCTTTGATCCATCCTCTACTGCTTTCCCAGGCCACAAATAGGGAGCTGGATGGAGAGTGGAGCATTCGGGTCATGAACCAATGCTCACTGGGATCTCAGTGCATGCAAGACGAGGAGTTAGCCACTGAGCCACCGAGTCGGGCCCAGCATTCCAATTTCTCAAGCTGTCACCACTGCCTCCTGGGCTGCAGGAAGCTGGACTCAGCAGCTAGAGCTGGCAGCTGGAGACCAAACCCTTGCAACTGTTACACAGGTCACAAGCCCCTGAACTGTTTATACTAAATGCCCATTCATGAAAGGATATTTTCAAACTAGAAATAGGAGACCTAAGTCGCAGGACGAAGTGGGGGCTTACACCCACAGAGCAACGTTGGAGCACACCAGCAGAGCCCAAGTGATGGACTTCCTCTTACTGAAATTATTTTAAGCTTCACTATTCTTTCTCAAAGTTAAAACTAATCTCTTCAACATTTGTGGACTAAGCATGAGTAGCAAATGCAATCTGTTTTTCACAAAAGTATTTTTGGGGACAGTTTTGTATCATGTATACAAGAGGGAAACATAACAAAACAGAATCCCAAAATAAACTAAATTTCAGACAGCAGTGGGAAAGTTTTGAAAACAATTTTAAAAGTCATAAAACAAAGAATTCAACGGCTGCCAAGGCCACTTGCTCACCGGTACGTGTGTCCTGTGATTTCGTTTCTGACCATGACACAGTCCACCAGCCACTTGGCCAACAGCCCTGAGTTGTCGTGACCAAGCTGGACAGTTGTCAGTTTCCCCAGGTTCTGGCACTGGAAGGACAGGACCGAGGTTATTCGCTGCCTGGTCCCGCCCCCACCCCTCAGCTGCAGCAGGAGCTCTCAGGTTCCACTAGTGTAACGGCAGGGACCCATCCCTGCAGAACGTGGCTACATAAGAAATGTGTTTGCTTCCATTCCCTGCTCTCACGGAGCCCTCACGGGGTGCCCGGAGAGACACAAGGCCAGGAGCTGCAAAACGAGGTGGGCTTCGTGGGTCCTAGGCCAGAGACACGAATGAGTGGTTTAGAACATGAGAGGAAGGAACATGGGACTCTAACTTGTGGAACCCAGAAACATCATCGAGACGACACGTGCAGCGAGGAATAAAAATCATGAGAAGCAGAAAAAGGACACTGCTTGGACAGACTTACACACAGGTTGGAACACAACTACAGTCTAAAATTCCTTGACACTAGCGCTCTTCTGGCTCCAATATGATACTAAAGCAGAACTGCCCTCAAATAGCATCTTCTAGAAGCCTGGGAAGTGACTGCAAAAAAAGGAGGCATGTAGCAGGTCCCCTTATTCATAGGGGACACGTTCCAAGCCCCCAGTGGGTATCTGGAGTGTCACAGCACCAAACTCCACAAACACAAGGTCTTCTCCCCGCCCCGCAGCACCTCCACAGCACCAGAGCCCATCTTCCCTGCTAAGCTGTGTGCCCGCGGCCTCCTTGGCGTTGTTGCTATCATGCTCTGGGGCTGTTATTAAGTACACCAATCAGGCTGGCTCTAATGCCTGGGACACTATTGAGTGACTGAAGGTGGCTGGCAGAGCCATTGAATGGAGGGCAGTAGCAGGTTTCATCATATCACTAGCATGGCACGCAGTTCAAACCTACAAATTACTGTAAAAATAAATGCTCATTAAGGACTTTCAGAACTTGGAAATGAAAAGATCACACACTCCAATAGACTGTGCTATGAGAACAGAAGGATTCTTGACGTCATAAAAGCCCTTGACTTCTGTGTGTCTCGGTGGGAAGCTAGGTGGGGGATAGCATCTTGACTCACGGTGCAGTGGCTGGGGAGGAAGTACACAGTAGCTGCAGCACAGTGGACCAAACTGCTGCTTAGGACACCGGCACCTCACACTGGAGCACTCTCTCGAGTCCACTAAGATGCCTGGGAAGGTAGATCACGGGGCTGAAGTAGTGGAGTTGCTGCCACAAGCAGAGGCCCTGACCCTGGCTCTGCAGGCAGCTGGAGAGACAGCCAGCAGATAGGAGAGCTCCGTCTCTCGCTGTCTGTCCTGCCTCTCAAGGAAACAGACACCTGAGAAAAAGAAGCATGTCTGTGTGTGAGAGTGAGACAGAGTCCGAAAAGAGCGATGACGGTCCTTGCACTGTGATTCTAATGCAGCCTAAGGTCCACGACTGGCAGGCAAGGAAAAGCCACGGGTTTCAGCGTGGTACACACAGAAAGCTGCAAGCTGGCTGCATGTGGGCCAAGCTATGTCTTGGGGGAATTGCGACTCTCGGGAGAAACTGCTATTCTGGTATCCAAAGGAAAAGCAGAACTGCACATCCAACTTCATCCTCAATCAACAGCAGCCTCCTGTCTTCCGCCTGCACATCAGCATCATGTGCTCAAGCACACAGAAGTACTTCGCAGGTGACACTGAAAACGGACCAGAGCACCGAGAGGTGTTTCTGCAAAATAACTCCGTAAGGGTCATCACGTGGTCTTGCAGCCGGAGGCACGGCCATCAGCTCCCGTGTGCCTCTGCGGACAGAATGGGAGGTTCAGGCAGCGAGGTGGCCACTGTGGGGCACGCACTCACCGTGGTGTGCCCGTGGGCTAGGCTCTGGGCTAGAACCGGGCACTGTGGAGTAGGGCCTGGGAAAGCCCAGTCTGAGGGGAAAGTCGAGCTTAACAACAAACAACAGCACAAACACAAAAATAAATTGAGTGCATCTGCTTACGACAGCATCACCGCAAAACCGGCTCCTCACACCTGCACGTCTCTTTATCATATGTGATTTGAGAGCAGAGCCAATGGAAGGCTGCCAGCCGGCCTACCTCGAAAGTCATCTCGAGAAGCGCTTTGGGGATCTGCATCACTCCCGTGTCCCCCAGCTCTCCTGACACGCAGATCCAGGGGTTGGAGGTGATGATCGCGTTGCTCAGTTTTTTGATGGGGATGATCACTGACCGATAAGGAATCACTGGAAGAAAAACACAGGGTTCAATTTTTCCTGTTCATAAAACACAGGTTAAAAGCTCCGCTGGCTTTCACAGAGAGATGATGAGTGCATGACCTCCTCTGGTCTAGGATGCTGGCATTCAGTTTGCAGAAGGTGAGTTTCAGCACCTGCAGCACTGGAGTCCACACACAACCACATCACGCCAGATGTGTGGCACTGCCTGTTGCCTACCACCATGGGGATGTGCAGCCCAGAAAATGACACACAACCTGAAGCATTACACGAAAACACCCAAAGATATGAACGCTGTGTTGTACCGCTGCTTTGAAAACGCACCCCTATGCGAGTGCCTTCAAGGCAGATGCAAGTTACTGGCAGGCCCCAGCCTCCCAGCCTGCCACCCTCACATTATGGTGTCCTTGCCCTTCCTTGATGGTTGCTAAAATAATCACTAAAGGCAACTCAGTGAACTGACGGAGGTTGCAACTGGCCCTTCAAAGCTCTCCAATAGCGGTTGGTATTATCTCAAGCGGTTTGTTGATGGGGTGGAAGCGGCATTCAAGGCCGAGAGAAGGCGGTCACTGCCATTCACATCTAGCCCTATGTTGTTTTGAAGCCCACTTTTCTACATACGGAACAGTATTGCTGACCAGCCTGACGAAGGCTGTAAGCACCAGGCACCAACCTGGAATCTGGACGCACACTGCACACGTCCTTTCCAATTCCCCAACTTTAAACTAACGATCCACTGCCTTTATTCCCTCGAGGAATCTGGACATTCAGTAACAGCTGTCTGGATCTTTGCTCTTCATGCTGCGATAAACATCTGACATCAACAATTGGCTCACTGTGTGTGGTGGGCAAGCGGACTCACATTTGTGGTTTTACAAAAGTTCTCCAACTAGAACTGGGGTTGTTCGGTATTATTTTCACAGTTTGGTATGTTTTAAAATCAACTCTGCACAAAAACAGTACAAGAGGACATGGTTAACAACACAGCTTCACATGAAAAGAGGGATGGGCAGGTGACGACTTGCCAGCATCTCACTGCTGATTTCCTTGAGAAAGGCTTTACTGCTCTGTCTTTGGAACTTTCCTATCCCGAGTTTACAGCACAATATACAAAGCCCAAAGCCATGAATGATGAACAATGGAACCTCAATTCTGGACATACAGCTCGATATGGTGGGGGGGAACTCCTGTCACAGGAACCCATTGACAGTCAAGGAAGCAAACTGCCAAATGGGTTTTCCTTCTGCAGACATTTCCATGGACACCCACTAGATGGCATTATTCCACCATGGGCTTAGACTCAAACATGAAACTAGAAAGACATCACACCCACCAACTCCCTCTCTGGAAAATATTTATTTACTTGAAAGGCAGAGACTGAATGAGGTCTTTCACTTGCTGGTTCGCTTTCCTTATGCTTGCAACAGCTGGGGCTGGACCAGACCAAAGACAGCAGCTAGAAACTTCACCTGGGTCTCAGGTAGGTAGTAGGAACTCTAGAAGTTAGACCACCATCTGCTGCCTCGCAGGTGCATTGGCAGGAAACCAGATCTGAAGTGGAAGTGGGTCTAGGCACTCTGATAAGGGATGCATGCATCCCAAGTGGCTACATGTCTTAACCTTGTGGTGCCACAATGACAACCCCACTCCCGTTTCTTAAAAAAATGGGGGAAGCGCAAACCCATCAGCACATTTCCACTTTTACAGTCAATTTTTTTTTAGGTAAGGGTGGGACAAGTATTCTCTGCACGTGTTGGTGGGGGTTTTACTCTGCTGGCCCCCAGGGGGCACCTCAGAGTCTTCTGTGCAAGGTCAACACATGGCATCTTTCCTAGACCAGGGACCAGCAACAGCCTCACCCCAAGAGCTCATGGTCAGCACTCTCAGGACAGTTTGTCATCCTTATTTTACATAGACAACTTTATGCTGGGTGGATAATCTCCCTTTCTGTCCATGTTATTTTGGCTGAAGGAAAGGAAACACCACAGGAAAGGCCATCCTTTCCTGGTTCAGTAATTGTGAGAGGGCAGTGTAGGAGTTTATTTTGGGTGCTCCAGGCCTGTCTCACTTCTTGTAGTGCCAGCATCAGAAAAGCTGCAGAAATCTCCACATACGGTCAGCACTGCTGTGGCTGCTAATGGCCTACAGTGATCTCAGTTTAAAAATGATAATGTACTGTTATGAATTCAGATTTCTTCTTCCATGGAGCCTGTCAATCCCACAGATGACAAAGTGTGCGGACTTTGGCAGATTTTTTCCCCCATAATTTGCTTTTTAAAGCTGTACAGAGCACCACGGGCTCCTCCTCCCACACAACCTGATAAACAGTAACTTGGCAGGTGGCAGAGGTCGGCTCCCCCTCATGCTCGTCTGTCTCCACCAGAGGCTAGCAAGCCAACATGTACTCAGTTCTGGCCAGAGCCAGTGATGCTACTGTAAATTTTCTGTAAAATAATACTTTTTTTTTTTTTGAGCACCCATTCTGCCCTCCATCCCTCCTGCTGCAAGATAAGTTGAGAAGGACCCTGTGACCACCAGGCAACCAGCACACAGAGGGTGTCAAAGAAGAAAAGACAGGGGCTTGGTCCAGGCCAGCACACCAAGATCTCCATCTTGAGACTTCTTATTACATAAGAAAAACGATTGGCTTAAGCCATTGTGTTTCAACTTTCCAATCCTTGTAGTAGAGCAGAATTTCTAACTGACACAGGAGTTCCTTGGAGGAGAAAAAGAGGGCTACTGCAAGTAAGGTTTAGAAATTGTGCAGCAAACTTAAAAAATGCATCAGTGGCCTGGCATGGTAGCCTAGTAGCTAAAGTCCTCGCCTTGCATGTGCTGGGATCCCATAGGGGTGCTGGTTAGTGTTCCAGCTGGTCCACTTCCCATCCAGCTCCCTGGGAAGGAGTCAAGGACAGTCTAATGCCTTGGGATTCTGCACTCAAATGTGAGACTTGTAAGAAGTTCCTGGCTCCTGGCTTCACATCAGGTCAGTTCCAGCTGCTGCAGTCACTTGGTGAGTGAATCAGTGGACAGAAGATCTTTCTTTCTGTCTCTCCTCTCTGCAAATTTGACTTTCAAATAAAAATAAAGAAACCTAACAAAAAGCACCAGCAAGTTCAGGGACCTGATGTGATGAAGCAAGCAAGATGGGGAAGAGGGCACCGGCTGGCACTGTAGTCCCAAGAAGAGGCTCAGCTGAGCGGACAGAGCCCCAGGACGGCCCCATGACTAGTTCTGGGATGCAGGCCCTTTAGCGAGGTGCGCTCCCCTGCAGGCTGCCAGCTGAGGTTCCCAGGGGTGGGGTGGGGTGGAGACCTGGGGTGCACTCACAGGGCTGAAGAGCCGATGAGTTTACCCCATTGGTCAGTGACTGTCCCTTTCCGCGCAGTCGGTCCTGCAGACTTACTGATGGTGGTGAACACGCTGGTGAAGCAGAAATAGTCCACGGCGTTGAGGGAAAGGAGGTGGTAAAGAAACTGTTCGCGCTCCTCCTCGCAACGCAGGAAAGCGTAACGCTTGTACAGCTTCCTAGGAAAGGCCAGACAAGCACAGGACAACGGTGTGAGACAGGCCTCCTACTTTCTTCTTTGCTTCTTCATTAAGAAGAAACACACCTCCACTTAGACAAACAATGGCAGACACTTCATCCTTACAAGAACCAAAAATTCAGATATCAACATTAACAATTAATAAACCGTTTTTAACCTGGTAGTTAAAGGGGGAAAAAAAAAGCACCCTCCCAGATCCATTTTGGTGACCCACTTAATACGGACGCAGAAGTGCAGACAAAGGGACAGGGCAGTGTGGGACTGACCTTCAGGAACCCACCCTGTGAACCAGTCACACTCTCCCAATTCTCTGATTTTACTTTTGGGATCCAGTCTGATGATTCAATATGAAATAGGGGATTCACTTACAACGCCCTCAAGATATTCATGGTGTATACACACAGTGGAACTGTGTGTGCAATCAGCCAGGAACAGTTTTTAAGAGCAAAGCTATTGCTACTGGGGCCAGCCTGGTGCTACAACAGGCTTAATCCTCCACCTGCAGCACCAGCATCCCACGTGGGTTCCAGTTCATGCCCCGGCTGCTCCACTTCCGATCTATTTCCCTTCTTATGGCCTGGGAAAACAGTGGAGGATGACCCAAGTGCTTGGGCCCTGCACCTACGTAGCAGACCTAGACGTTCCTGGTTCCCAGCTATAGACTGGTTTAGTTCTGGCCACTACAGTCATTTTGAGAGTGGACTAGCAGATTCAAGTTCTCTCTTGCTGTCTTTCCCTCTCTCCCTATAAGTGTAACTGAGTTTACAAGTAAAACACCTTTTAAAAATCTTTACCAAAACCAACCAACCAAATAACAACAACAAAAAACCAAAACCAAAAACCCGCTATTAAAAATACATAACTGGGCCCGGCGCGGTGGCGTAGTGGTTAAGGTCCTCGCCTTGCACGCCCGGGATCCCATATGGGTGCCGGTTCTAATCCTGGCAGCCCCGCTTCCCTTCCAGCTCCCTGCCTGTGGCCTGGGAAAGCAGTCGAGGACGGCCCAAAGCTTTGGGACCCTGCACCCACGTGGGAGACCCGGAAGAGGCTCCTGGCTTCGGACCGGCATAGCATCGGCTGTTGCGCTCACTTGGGGAGTGAATCATCGGACGGAAGATCTTCCTCTCTGTCTCTCCTCTCTGTATATCTGCCCTTCCAATAAAAAATAATAAAAATAAATCTTTAAAAAAACACATAACTTTTATTGGGGATTTGCATTGAAGCGTTTTCCCTAGCGTTCTTAGGAACTCATGTCTTTGATCCTCATGGCTGCCCTCTGAGCAGCCAGCCTCGTTTTAGGGCTCAGGAAAACAGAGCATCCGAGAAACTAGGCATCCTGTGGAAGGCCACTGAGACAGTGAGTAAAGTAAGTAAAGGCAGAATCTAAACACAGGCATGCAAACATCAGAATATAGTGAAACGTTTGTGAAATATTGAACTGCCAACATAGCATAGTCTTGAGAGAAAATACGCAGAAAGATATATGACATGTGAGATCTGTGGCATTCTCCTTGAGGAAGCGTAATTGTAGACGAGCATCACTTTCTCCTCTGTTCCAAAGCCACACTGGGCACAGATGACTTTCACCATCACAAGAGCAGTCAGAAGTTAAGAACCAGGTTAGGTTCTTCGTCAAACCTACTCTTGGACAGTAAGGCATTCTAAAATGTTCAGAGTCATATGTACAAAAACAGAATTACAAAAAGCACTGGGATTCCAATAGACTGTCATGCTTGAGGGTTTTTCTGAATTCTCAGCTAAACTACTCCAGTGTTTAAATCAGCTCCGACTGTGTATGTGAACCCAAGGGGGCTTCCTGGAGGAAAGGGGAGCCATCACAACAGTGAACAGCTAACTCACAGCCCTGCGACTGGTCTCCTGGGTCGAAGTCCTTGTACATAAGTCCTGGGAGGACTACGGGGAGAAGCCCTTTGTGTCCTTGGACCATTTTAGTTCTTCTTTTACGATTCTGTGTTTAGTTATGAATTTCACACTGCGATGGGAGGCTTATACATGTGTTTTACACCATACTGACAACTTGCATGGTCCAGCTGGCCTTTTCTCTGATTAGAAGGCAGTGTAGTTTGGTGTGTGCTCTCAAGAATGACCAAGCAAGCTGTCAAAAAGTGAGTTCGAAGCACACACTGCTAAGCCAACAAGAGTGCAGGTGCACCGGCGCGTGCTAGTTGTGCCTGAGAAGCATGTGTGTCTGTGCAGGGGACCTGCCGTGCGGCCACACGGCTCAGAGCTGTGTCTTACTTGGTGAGGGGCTGGTTAGAGAGCAACTGCTTGAGATGCTGGGACAGCAGCTTCTTTTCCAGTGACAACCTGATCCACGCCCGGGCTCGGCCGACGTCGGTCTTGATCTCACTCATGTTCTGAATGTGCCTAAAGAGAACAGCAAGGACGCAGACTTGAGGAAGAGTCATGGACTGCAAAAGCACTGAACAGTTAACAGTGACGTGCTTGGCAAAGTTCTGCACTGGAGTGAGCAATGGTCATACAGTTCACACCGGTCCAACCTTAACAGGTTCCCTTCTGCATCATGACGCGAGACCCCAAGGAGCTGTGACTACAACCCAAGCATACAGGTGACAAGCTAACGTGGAGCACAGGAGCTTGTTCACTCGTTCAGACTTAACTACATTCTTGTTTCAACCTCAGGTACCTGTAAACAGTCACTTGATTATTCCTGACCTCAATAAAACAGGATGAATATTCACATTTTACACAACTTTAATTTATTCTGAATTACTTTTCAAGTTGCCTGAGACAACATACGCAACACAGGAAACCTTACTTTCCAGAGCACTCAAGATCAGATATACTACACTGTTAACCTAAAGCTCTACAAGCTGGACTGTGCACAAGCCTTCAGCTGAAACCATGTGGGGTGTCCACACGGCCTTCTGTGTAGACGCTGACAACATACGCAGCAGGGCTGTGTCTATTTTCCTAAATGATTCTGCTCCTAAGGCATGGGGAGGAGGAGCCCTGAAAGAGGGCAGATGTTGGTAAAACTGCTGCCGTGAGACCCTGAGAGCCTTTGGTCCTTGGAACCACTATTCCTTCCTTTGATTTTATGTCCAGAACAAGACATCCTAGCTGTAATAAACGCTGCCACAAACCCCGTGTCTCTAGAGCATAGGCGTTCAGAATAGGAACTGCCTTCCTGGCAAGATGTAGACATGCATGTGTGTGCACGCATCCATATTCCTGCTCCCTCCCTTCCTCTTACCTTCCCTCTCTCTGCACCTGATTGGGAAGGTGCAGATCCTCAACGTTCTTGACAAGATGCAAAACATTACGTTACATCGCACAGGACACCAGAGTGTGGTTTCAAAACGAGTGAGAATGAACACTCTGTGGTCACTTTCTGTGGATGCTTTGTCAGCCTCTCCTCACCTCTCAGAACTGCTAGGACACATCATTTCCCACAGCTGTGAATGAAGAAAACTGGAGCCAGGCAAGCAGCCCGAGGGAGCCTTGGGTCTTCTCTATAGAGGTGGGAGCGAGGGGGCCCTTGACAACGCAAGCCAAGCTGGCACTTTCCATAGGAACCTTTGAAACAATACTGGCAATCTCCCAGCCACTGACACGTCCCTAGTGACGATCGACTAAAACCAACAAGGTAGACTCTTCAGGGATGAACCACTTCAAGTTCAAGAGCACTTGGGATGTGTGCCGTGTTCAAGGCCAGGAGTGTACAGCACATGTTTCTCCTAAGTATTCCTCTTGCTAACATCAAAGTCCACTGTAACTGGTTAAACGCTGGTCTTCTGTACTGAAGACAAGGTAGAGAACAACTCTGATTCTAAAGACATGGGAAGACTGGAACACGTCCAGAGAAGCCTTGGTGACAAGCAGCACTCCCCTCCCCACCTATGAGGTTGGTAAGTGCAGCCGCTGGTCTCTAACCTTCAAGCCCACTTTGTTCCCAAGCACCAGGGCAATCAGCCTGCCTACACGATCACTGCCTTACTGTTGCATCTCCAGGCCCTGTAAAAGCTCATGGAATACAGCCTGATCTGCTCCGGCTGGTATTCAAGGCCTACCATTCGTGGTCTTTTTGGCACCCTCTGAAGAGAATGCCCACGTCCTGGCCATGTGCCTTCCAATACCGTGCCTGCCAGCCCCCCTGCTGGACTCCATTTATCATCGAGATCCCGACTTCCTCCTGCAAAGAATGCTTCCAAGAAGTCTTTAGATATCTCTCCAGTCTAAGAATTCCTTGCCACCACCCCAGAACTCCTGGATCCTGGCTTTGAATCTGCTCAACTCTAGCCATTGTGACCATTTGGGCAATGAAGCAAAAGATAGGAAGATCTTTCTGTCTCTCATTGTCTCTGCAAATCTGCCTTTCTAATAAAAATAAATAAATCTTTAAAAAATTAAAATAGGGCCTAGTTCTAATCCCAGCAGCTCCACTTCCAATCCAGCTCCCTGCTTGTGGTCTGGGAAAGCAGCAGAGGACAGCCCAAAGCCTTGGGATCTTGTACCCACGTGGGAGACCTGGAAGAGGTTTCTGGCTCCTGGCTCCATACTTGCGCAGCACCGGCCATTGCACTCACTTGGGAAGTGAATCATTGGACGGAAGATCTTCCTCTCTGTCTCTCCTCCTCTCTGTATATCTGATTTTCCAATAAAAATAAATAAATCTTAAAATAAAATGGGAGCTTAGTGTTGTGGCAGAAAGTTAGGCTGCCACTTCTGCTTCATTTCTGATCCAGCTCCCTGCCAATGGAACAGTGGACGAGATCCCAAGTGCTTGGGCCCTGCCATCCATGTGGGACACCCAGAAGAAGCTTTGGCTTCTGGTTTTGACCTGGCCCAGCCTGGCTTTTATGGTCATTTGGAGAATAGAACTAGCACATGAAGATCTGTTTCTCCATATATCTTTTGAAATAAATAAGAAAAATACATTTAGACATGGGGTAGGCATTTAGTGCTATGGTTAAACTGTCACTTGGCATGCTTAAATTCCATAACAAACACCATGGTTCAAGTTCTTGGCTCAATCTAGCTTCCTGTTAGAGTGTAAGCTAGGAGGTAACAGGTGATTGCTTTAGTGTTTAGATCTCTGCCACCAGTCTGAGAGACCCGCGTGGAGTTCTGGGCTCCTGGCTTTTGCCTGGCATTTGGAGAGTGAAGCAGTAGGTGAGAAGATTGTTCTCTATGTGCTTCCATGTGTCTGCCTTTCAAATGAAATAAATAAAAACTTAAAAAAATTACAGAAGGATTAGGTAACTCACTCTCAAATATTTTAATCTCTTCATCCAACAAGGAATATTCCTAGGATTTTCTTGGACAGCCTGTTCATTTGCTGATATTTTCAGAGTAATACATGAGATTTATTAGTATAAACCTAATTATATTCATATATATTCAGATATATTTAGAGTACTATATTAGGTTTATTACACTCACAACTGAGATCATGAAATGTTTTGTCTCTGATAATCGTTATCATAATCACATGTTATTATTCTGGAAAGAAACTGGAAGCAATTGTAGCACTGTGATGACACTCCTTTTCATACACAGGGATTATATAAATTACTGACTGTCCTAGACTTCCTTCTTAGAACAAGAAAAAAATCCATTTTTGTAGCTCATGACTTGCTAATGCTTGGCATCTGTGAAGGCCCAGGGCAGCGAGAGGCTGAAAGAAAGGGCACTGCTGTTGATCACGCCAGCTTCGAGGCACACTGGTGCCTAGACTCACCCACCATGAGCAATCAAGTCTCTTGGCTCCAGGGTGTTTGCCTGAGAGGACACATGGGGAGGCAGGAAGTGCAGAGAGAGGTATGTGCCCAGCAGACAGCAGGGCTCAGGGAAGCAGGCAACCTAACCTCTGTTCACACCGAACAAAATGAAGGTTTCGAGTATTACTTGGCTGCTAAGGGGCAGTAGTTAAGAGTCTACAATGAGGGACTTGCCAAGAACTCACAACCAAGAAGACAAGCGTGCCAGCTGAGAGTTAATTATAAAGTAGAGCATGAGTATGAAGAGCAACTAGGAAAGATCGTCTTTTTTTTTTTTTTTTTAAAGATTTATTTATTGGGCCCGGCGGCATGGCCTAGTGGCTAAAGTCCTCGCCTTGAACGCTCCAGGATCCCATATGGGCGCCAGTTCTTGCCCTGGCAGCTCCACTTCCCATCCACCTCCCTGCTTGTGGCCTGGGAAAGCAGTCGAGGACAGCCCAGAGCCTTGGGACCCTGCACCCGCGTGGGAGACCCAGAAGAAGTTCCTGGATCCTGGCTTCGGATCGGCATAGCATCGGCCGTTGCGCTCACTTGGGGAGTGAATCATCGGACGGAAGATCTTCCTCTCTGTCTCTCCTCTCTGTATATCTGCCTTTCCAATAAAAATAATAAAATAAATCTTTAAAAAAAAAAAGAAAGAAATTCAAAAGAACCACAGCTATTGTTGATGTGGCACTCACTTTAAAGCCACAATTAAATACATATTCTGCCTAATAAATCTGGAATAAAAAAAAAAACTTGGCCTTCCTCACTGAATAAACCAGTTTCAAATATCTTGGTGCCTTCTAAAGATTTCTAAGATCAGTAATTGGAAGTGATAATCCCCAGGCCTGTATGTGCTTCACAATCTATCTGACAGCAATTTTCCTGCCAAGCAGCTTGCCAGTGTTTGCAGATTTTTTTTTTGGTATCTACAGGCAGTGAGTGTTTGAATTTTAAAAAAGGACACAATAAATTATAAAATAATTCAGAGGCTTAGAGGCTTCAAAACTCTTCGAAGCTGCATATTCCCCTTGAGTTTAATGCAGAAAAAAAAGCAAAAGTAAACAAATTACAGTGTGCAAGTAGACAAATGGTTGGAACACCTTCTTCAGAAAACAAAAGCCAAAGTTACACACAGCCATAATCATCTGAACAACAGAGGCTGAAAATATGAAGAAAAAAAAAATACCTCATGTCCTGGATCAAGGAGACCCTGAGTGTGGGGAGCACGACGCCCGAGTCAGACTTCCTTCTTTCTGGTCCCAGGGCAACTATGTGGAAAAATACCAACAAAGCATTAGAGAATATCAGCAAAGACTCAAAACCCACACTGCTCACATTCTATAAATAAGTGTTTTGAAACTGCTTTGAAAAAGACTCATTTTAAAGGCAACCAAAACCTTCAAATCCTCTTCCCTGACTGCTGCTACTTTATTGAAACTGTCAACCAGTTATTTTCTTTGTAGTTAATTTGAGGTTGACTTTGAAATTCAAATGCTACTTAAAACAAAAATCCAGCTAATAAACATTAACATATAAAACTTGTGGCCGTAAGCGCCAGTATTTTCTAAAGGCGTTTTAATAACTGGATAATCACATCTCAGCCGTGTCTATAACACAAGCTACTGAGTTTGTTACTTATGTCTGCTAGGGGACTGAAGTCACACAGTCTAAAGGCCAGAAGGGGATACTAAAAATACCCAATGCTTTGAGCTCTTCCATCTGGTATCTTTCTACTTCGATGTTTTTATTTATTTGAGAGACAGAGTATCTCACGTCTGCTAGTATACTTCCTAAATAACTTAACGGCAGCAGCTGGTCCAGGAGCACACCCAGCCTGGAGCTCAAGGCAGGCGTTTCATGGGAATGGCAGGAACCCAGCTGTCTGTTCCCTCACCTGCTGCCTGCCAGGATGTGCATCAGCAGGAAGCTGGACTGGGAACCGTGCTCCATTAGGCCAAACACCTGCTTCTAACCTGTTATTCCATTTCAAAGCACTCTCTAGGGGTGGCTGCGCTTTTGATCCAGCTCCCTAATACTGTGCCAGGGAGAGCAAGGGAGGATGACTCAAGTCCTCAGGCTGCTGGGATACCTGAAGGAAGCTTCTGCCTCCTGGTTTAGGACTGGTTCGACTCCAGTCCATGTGGGCAGTGAACCAGCACATGGAATATCTCTCTCTGCCTCTCTTTCTCTGTAATTCTACCTTTTCAGTAAATTATCTTTAAAAACAGAACAGAAGAGTAGAGAACACCGAAGTACTTTCCTATATGGCTTATTAGCAGTTTCAGAGGAAGAGCTTGGAAGCCCAGGTGCAGAGCCAGGTGAGGGGTTTAAGGGGTTTCCATTTGGAGAGCCAGAATCTAAAAAAGTTTCCTGGATGTCTATGCTAGCCAAGGGAGAAATTTATAAACCATGAAAACGTTTACTTTCACTACTATTTCTTACTACAAAGTACTTGCAGGCAAGAGACCACTGTTTCAACGTGGAGATTCACGGATTTAATACTTGGTTACAGGGAATCTGCAGCTGACTTAACTGCCTGTGAAGACAGCAAGCAGACCAACGACAGAGACGTTACTTCTGTATAACCACATACACAGTCTATGGGCAAATACGTAACTAACAGAAAACTTTTGTGGAAGGACGATGATTAAAGAGTGAATTCGCAGGTGAGATCCAGAATTAGCATTTAAATGCAGCATCTTAGAGACAGGAGCTGGATCAGTGTTTAAGAGATCCGTACGTCATTCTGAAACGCTGTACCCAAAACGCTATACTACTGAATGGCACATGGATCTTTTAAGTTCTCTGCAGGGTGTGAGGGTAGGGCACAGAGCATGGTTTTATCTATTTATTTAAGAGGCAGAGAGGCAGAGATCTTCCACCAGCTGGTTCACTCCCCAAATGCCTGGAACAGCTGGGGTTGGGTCAGGCCAAAACTGGGAGTAGGGAACTCCATCTGGGTCTCCCCTGGCACCACTGCTCGCCACCGACAGCACATCAGCAGGAGGCTGGGAAGGAGAACAGAGATGTGTGACCAGAACTCAGGCTTCCAAGCCGTGTCTAAACTGCTGCTATCAACACCCACCCCTGCTACGTTTCAAAATGGAAATCTCTGGGGAACAGAGAGTCCCTGTTATAGGACGAACTGCATTCTGAGACTTTGCTGAGAGAGGACTTGGAGGCTCAAGGCAGGTGTCAGGGGTCAAAACTCCCACAGCTCGCAGAGTTAAAATTGTGTAGGTGTGCACAGTTGGAACACAATATTGTTTTTCAAGAACAAAGTCTTTTGTTTTTAGATTGAGGTCTTGGTACATATTTCACTGTTTCATATTTTTAACTCCCAACTTCTTTGGTTGAATCACCAGAAGTATTAGAACAATATTTATAAAATTCACCCTTCCAGACAACGAACTTTAGTTTCAAAAGCTACATGGCTCATATTAATCCTAATTAAGATTGTTAATTAACTTGTGTTCATTTAAAAAACAGTAAAATAACTTGTGTAATTCATTAAAAAATATTACTTTTGAGGGGAAGGATGACAAACACAGAGAGAAAAAGTTCTTTCATTCCCTGATTCACTCCTCAACTGTCTGCTACAGTCAGACCGTGGCAGGCCTAAGCTGAATCTAGAACTCCACCTGAGTGTCTCACCCAGGTGTTGAGACCCAATCCGCTTGAGTCGTTTGCTGCCTCCTTTATTACATATTACCAGGAAGCTGAACTGGCAAACGGAGCTGGGACTCCAACCCAGGCACTCTAACACACGGATGGATGAGCCCAGCAGTCTCAGCTGCCATGCCCCAACCGTGTGATTCTCACACTATGCGACACTGCAGCACAGATGCTGCCTGCCAGAGGCTTTGACACATTTTCCACTTCTCAGTGTGGACCCCAGAGTTTTGCTTTGCTCACTAGTGACGAACTGAAGGACCCTGCAGAAGCTAGCGCTCCGCTCTCCAACGGAACTACCCAGTGCTCGACCAACAAAACCGCAAAGCTTCTCACATCCTAGCAGTTGGACATGAGCCCCAAAAACCAAAGGCTCCCATTATGCTGCCTCAACTAAGCTTGGCTTTCCAATTTTTCATCCTGCAAGTGGCTATTCTGTCTTGGGAATTTACTTTTTTTTTTTTTTTAAAGATTTATTTTTATTATTTTTTCATTGGAAAGGCGGATATACAGAGAGGAGAGACAGAGAGGAAGATCTTCCGTCCGATGATTCACTCCCCAAGTGAGCGCAACGGGCCGATACTATGCCGATCCGAAGCCAGGAGCCTCTTCCGGGTCTCCCACGTGGGTGCAGGGTCCCAAAGCTTTGGGCCGTCCTCGACTGCTTTCCCAGGCCACAGGCAGGGAGCTGGAAGGGAAGCGGGGCTGCCAGGATTAGAACCGGCACCCATATGGGATCCCGGGCGTGCTAGGTGAGGACCTTAACCACTTGCGCCACCGCGCCGAGCCCGGGAATTTACTTTTTAAAATTAGGATAAGCTGCTGTGGTTACAGTACTAAGTCTGAACAGTTCCATTTTCTGTTGGAGACAATTTTGGGCCATATACTGCTTTTTTTTGACAAAAAGGCAGAGGAGATAGATATTAGAGAATGCTTTCTACACGTTTTTAACAATACATTTGTTGGAAAGGTAGAGAGACAGAGACAATCTTGTACCCACTGGTACATTTCCTGACTGCCCACAACAGCTCAAAGCCAGGAGCCAGAGTGTCCATCTGGGTCTCCCTCAAGGGTAGCAGGGACCTATTCACTGTGGTCATCATCAACTTGCCTCCCGGGGATATTAGCAGGAAATTAGCTCAGGCCAACATCACAAGCAGTGGCTCAACCCATTGTGCCACAAGGTCTGCCGTGGAAAAGCTTTTATACCTGATCTACTTTCTTGTAACTACTGCCTGGGACATTAGGACCTTGCTCTTCTATTTCACAGCTTCAGGACAATGCAGCATCAAACTCATTTTTCTGTCTCATTCAACAATTACAAATGAAGTTTCCAATAATAAAAAACATATTTAAGCTAATTTGCCGTGTAAGGGCAGTGGAGAAAAAGGAATTGGGGATGGATACAAGGTATTACAGCCACATTTGTATTTTTTTTTTTAGTATATTATTTATTTTTATTGGACAGGCAGATTTACAGAAAGAAGGACAGACAGAAAGATCTTCCATTCTCTGATTCACTCCCCAAGTGACCACAACGGCTGGTGCTGAGCCAATCCAAAGCCAGGAGCCAGGAACTTTTTCTAGGTCTCCTACGTAGGTGCAGCGTCCCAAGGCTTTGGGTTGTCCTCAGTTGCTTTCCCAGGCCATAAGCAGGGAGCTGGATGGGAAGTTGAGCAGCAGGGATAGGAACTGGCACCCATATCAGATTCCAGCGCATTCAAGGTGAGAACCTTAACTACTAGGCTACCATGCCAGGCTCTCAGCCGTATTTGTAATGCTTTATTTCTTCTTATTATTTTCAAAAGGGAATTATTAACATAATATTTTTAAAAGATTTATTCATTTATTTAATTTTTTAAAATTATATTTTGGCAATCTTTATATTGTTGATTAGGGTAAAAAGTTACAAGGGCTAAAGGGAATATTGAGGAGAAGCCCCACCCAGTCTCCCACCCACCCCAGGTCCTATTTATTTATTTTTGCCTGGTGCAATGGCTCAGAGGACAAATCCTTACCTTGAATTGGTGGCCATATATGATACTAACACCACAGGGCAAGGCTTAGCCTGTTATGCTACAGCACCAACCCCAATACTTTATTTCTTAAGTTAGTTTTTAGTTTATATGTTTTTCTAAATTTGAAATAATTCAAAACTTTATAAAGCTTTTCAAACAACTGCCTGTTTTAAAACATTCCTTCTTTTATTTTTTTTTTAAAAAAGGATTTACTCATTTTTTTTTTAATTGAAAAGGCAGATCATGTTTACAGAGAGAATGAGAGACACAGAGAAATATCTTTCATCTGCTGGTTCACTCCCCAAGTGGCTGCAGCTGAGCCAATCCGAAGTCAGGCGCTGCTTCTGGGTCTCTCATGCAATGCAGGGTCCCAAGGCTTTGGGCCGTCCTCCACTGCTTTCCCAGGCCACAAGCAGGAGCTGGATAGGAAGTGGGGCAGTCCACGACACGAACTGGGATCCTGGGCACACAAGGTGAGGTGTTGGCTATTGAGCTATTGTACCGGGCCTTAAAACATTTTATTTCTATTAGCTTCCCATTATCCCTTCTACTTTTTGTGAATTAGATGGTCATTTACATAAAGTAAAATATGCCTCTTCGTGGGAAAAAAAAAGAAGCATTAGTTAGGCCATTTAGCTTGGGGTTGGCCTTGTGGCACAGTGGGTAGTAAGCTCTTGCTTTGCATATTGTCCCTGCTGCTGTGCTTCCAATCCAGTTACCTGCTAGCGTACCTGGGAAGGCAGTTCCAATTAGTTGGGCCCTACTACCAAAGCATAAGGGTCAGATGAAATTCCTGGCTTTTGGCTTCAGCCTGGCCCAGTGCCAGCCATTATGACTGACTGGAAAGTGAACCAACAAGTTCTTTCTCTCCTTTTCTCCCTCTCTGTCTGACACTCTGCCTCTCATATACTTAAGTAAATCTTGGACAAAAACAAGAAAAACAACTTAGGAAAGCCTATTTAACTTGTAGGTAAAAGTAGAGGTTCATGGAAAACATTCTGAAGGTTTGTGTACAAATAATCAAAAGTAGGAAATTGTTTCAGAAACAAGAAGGTGAAATACAGGGTGAGGAAACCGAGAACCGGAACAGCACGACACAGCCAGTATCTTTTCCCTAGACTGTAGCTGAGGACGCAGAGATGTCAAGTGACTTTTGCTGGGTCTCATGGCTGGTAAACAGTGGTGATAACCATGAATGATTTCTGAGAAGATGCAACAATGTCTGTTGTCATGGTCCAGTGCCGCGGGATCTACAGGAGCCACAGTGCAAGCCAAAGCCAGTGCCTCTCACCTGGGGATTCTGCAAGGTGCTCCTGTTTCTCTTCCCTGTCCTGAAACTGAATTAAATGTGACCACAAGGCTGACTTCCCCTGAAACAAGAAGGTACACAAAAATTGTCACTTTTGAAGAAGTAATTGAGCAACAAAAAGCTTCTCACGATGATGGCCACTTAGAGGTTTGGTGACCCAAACTCTTCCATTCCTGGCGTATCAGATCCTGGGTGTCTCCCTGCTGTGCTCGAAGGGCCATCCCTTGTCCACTGAGAGACTGGCAGGAGGGCAGGCACAGCGATGCAAGATGCCAGCTTGGCTGCTCCTGACTGAATGGGATTGGGGCTGTCTATGTTGGCCACACTGTTACCCAGGAAAGTGAGAGGTTTTGGCGGCACACTAAGCATCCGTGTACCACTTACAGAGTGTACAAGGAGCGGCAATGACAGGAAACCATCAGAGAGCAGAGACTGAGAAAAGCAGAGGAAGAAATAAACATGCGCACATCAGAAAAAACAAAGGGAAGCCAGAGAAGCAAGGACAGAGACTACTGGAATCTTCCCACCCGAATTACTCAGTCTCACCTGGCAACGACAGAAGGTGCCAACTCCAGGACCCGGCAGGGGACAAAGCCTCTAGCGTGCTGCTGTTCTACCCTTCTTGCTCCAGGAAAGCTACCCAGATCCGTCCACTTGGCAGTTAGTTATCTCTTGTTATGTGCTTGTGTATGCGATTGGGATTAAAATGCCCCTGGCACCCATGTGGGCATTCTACAACCTCTCGAGACCGTTACCTGCTTGACCTGCAGGCCATGGCTCCAGATTCGTTCCAGGAGGTCACAGAGGCTGGCAATCAGGGTATTCTCCTCCAAGCCTGTGAGGTTGGCTTCTCCATGGCCCAGTTCTACGGCTTCGTGTCCCATTTTCTCCACCAACATTCGTTTTGTCTGAAACATCAAGTACGGTCACAAGTTTTAGCCCAGCTGCGAAGCCAAACACACACACACACACACACACACACACACACACACACACACACAGAGGCTGGGACTGCAGCAGGACAGTGACTTTTCTTCATCACGCTTTGCACAGAGATGGCCAACCAGCCAAAGTAATATTATCTGTGTTTCACTATTCTCCCAGAGAATTATAGGGTCACTAATGAGAAAGTAAACAGTATTTGTGACGTGTCCCCATGGTGAAAAAACTGCTCATGCCCGACCACACTGCAGTGTGAACCTCTGTGACGCTGGCAGTCACAGCTGACTAAGAACAGCCAGTGTCCCGGGATGGAGTCCGTCTGTGCCCAGCTCCCCGGCACGCTGCAGGGAACTGCACACAGGGAGCCCCAAGCATTTGGAGAACTCTGACGTCTTCCTTTTCTGCTCTTCCTTCCCTCTTCTAGCTTGGCACTGCTCATGAGTACGCACCAAAAATAGAAGGGAATGGAAGCCAGTTTAGACTAAAATTGACGGGCACCCATCTTGTAGCTCCCGTACAGCACACGTTGGCTGAGAACCTTCTTCCCCTGGGTGGCTGTATGCCCAAGATGAGCATGGTGCATTTACTGAATACTTAGGTAATGAACTTAAGAAATGCCTGTCAAATAAATCTGGAGGTACAGGCAAAGCTGACATTCTGGGTCTTAGCATTTTGTTACTACTTCTGACAATACAGACATCTGAGAGAACAGTGTGCAACACACACAGCTAAGGTCTTCTTCCTTAAGGGTATGCGGGTGCAGGTTCATGCGCAGGTCAAGCCGTACCCAGTTACATACAATCACCGAAAATGTGCTTTCACATTTTCACAATGATGCAATTCCTGGGTGGCTCAGTATGTACACAAACTGGCAGGGAGGACAGCAATGTGTGGGGAGGCTGAGGGAACCACACAGGGTTCCCACATCCCTGAGGGGACATGGAGGCCCGTGACTTCTGGATAGAGCATGTGGGTCTCGGCCACAGTCAAGGCTTTTCCAGGGTTAGCTGTGGTCACCTGACCTCACATGCTGTAGACATGAACGTGTGCTGCTTGGCCCCAGGGAGCAATACATACCTTCATCCGACATTCTTTTAGCAAGCCTTCTACAAACTTCCAGTTGGTTTGTGCAATCACCGCAGGAGAGAGGTCTGACAATTTGGGTTGTCTCAGGTTCTTCCCTAAACTTCTTGCCTCTTGCATGTATTTCTAAAAATTAAAGAGCAGTTTTAAGGCATGAACAGCAGAGATTCCTCTAAGCTACGTAACCTTACACAAACACGTGCAGGAACAAACAAGATGCAGTAAAGCCCTAAAGGAGCATGTGCAATGTGCAACGGCCTTAGCGTGTGCACAGGCAGAGGGTGCCTGTCCTCCCCAACAACTTGTTAACTGCCGTGAAAGCAGGGTGACTGAGGCTCCAAGGAGCTAAAGCTCCATCCAAACAAAACTCCATTCAAAATGAGGTGGAGTTTTATTTAGCTTCGTCTTTTTTACTGGGGACCATCAAAGCTGTGACTGGTCAAGACCATGGCTGGGATCTGGATGACAAGCTGGGGGAAACACTGGGCAGCAGCTGAGGACACTCAGATGGCTGCTTTCCTCCACCCCTTTCCCTCAGTAACCCAGGGCTAGAGGGCAGCTCTCCAACCTTGTCTTGGGCTTCAGCCAAGCCACAATGGTAAAAGCAGGCACTCTGAACGCCCGCCACAAGCAGCTTCACCATCTCGAGTCCATCAGTGGACGCGAGCACTCCTCAGCCTACCTGAGGGAGCACAGAGCGTGCCCACCAACCTCAGGACAAAGCAGGACATGCGTCGGAGGCCTGTCCTCTCCCTTGGCTTGTTCCATGGTCAGGGGGAAGGGGATTGCAGTGCTCACGGTCGCAGTGCCTCTGGTGCCCTGCTCTTTGACAGCTGGCTTGGGGATTTTCATTAAAGAAAACCACGACGTCTGATGAGCACGTAACGTACTGTGATGGCTCTTCTTTCTAAGCTACCTGGGAAGGCTCACTCAGACACCGGATGCTTCCGTCAGGATCACAGGGCAGTCTCCAAAACATCCAAGCATTTTAGGACCATATTTAGACAGTGACGTGCTAAATTATTATAAGTTGGCAGAGTGAGCCAGCATAGCACGTCCTCCCACGGGCACATAAGGGAAATTCAGATATGTAAAGTAATTTAGATCTGGGTGAGTCCTTTACATAGAAGAGCACTTGGGCATTTCATATACTTCCCCTGCGGAAGGAAAGTCATTGGCTAAATCTGGTAAGAGCAGTGGAAAGTCCAGTTAGGGATTCAGCAGTCAGCTCGCAGGCCTGCCACTTTCTAGCCTTTGCAATCAAGAGAATGTTAACAAATGATGTTTCTTTTCTAGCTCAATCATTTTAAGTAGCAATTTAAAAATCAAATGAACTCTGAAGGCATCTGCTTCCCACACTTTCTTGTTTCAAGTATTTTTTTAGAGGTTCAAACAAAGAAGGGTAAACTGAGAAATGAAGGACAATTATCACCATTAGGCAAGTTAAGTGTAATAAGCAGGCCTGGTGTGATAGCCGAGCAACTGAAGTCCTTGTCTTGAATGTGCCAGGATACCATATGGGCACTGGTTCTAATCCCAGTGGGTCCCCTCCCCATCCAGCTCCCTGCCTGTGGCTTGGGAAAGCAGTCGAGGACAGCACAAAGCCTTGGGACCCTGCACCCACGTGGGAGACCCGGAAGAGGCTCTGGGCTCCTAGCTTCAGACTGGTGCAGCTCTGGCCATTGCGGCAGCTTGGGGAGTGAATCATTGGATGAAAGATCTTCCTCTCTGCCACTCCTCCTCTCTGTACACCTAACTTTCCAATAAAAATAAAAAACAAATATATTTTTTAAAAAATGTAACAAACACTATGGGAAACAGCCTGAAAGTTAGCTTTCCAGTAATGAAATGATGGAAAGCTCGACCTGGAACACCTTAGAACAGATCAACAAAATGTTGTGGCCATAATGGCTGGAGTTGAGTCTGTCTGAAGGCAGGAGCCAAACGTTTCTTACAGGTCTCCCACATGGGTGCAGGATCCCAAGGCCTTGGGCTGTCCTCTATTGCTTTCCCAGGTCACAAATGGGGAGCTGGATGGGAAGTAGAGCAGCGGAGACATAAACCGGTGCCCATATGGAATCCCGGTTGATGTTAACGTGAGGATTTAGTCACCAGGCTATTGCGCCAGGCTTGAGACCTCAAGTTTTCCTTCTTCTTCAGAAACACATGCATCAGCTTAAAAAAAAAAACAACTCTTTATTTGAAAGGGGGAAGGGTGAAGGTAGGGTGGGAGCAAAAGAGAGAGAGAGGGAGGGAGGGAGAGATGGAAGGAGAAAGGAAGGAAGAAACAGAGAAAGAAAGAAAAGAAAAGGAAAGGAAAAGATAGAGCGAAGGAAGAAAAGAGAGAAAAGAAGAAGAGAGGGAGGAAAAGAGGGAGGGAACCAGAGAAAAGAGACAGTACGTTTCCATTCAGTGGTTCATTCCCCAGGTGTCTGCCACAGCTGGGGCTGAGGTTAAGGACAGAGCTGAGATCTTGGAACTTAATCCAGGCTTTGCACAGGGATGCCAGGAACTCAATTACTTGATCCATTCCTGTTGTTTCTCAGGGTCTGTCTAACAACAGGCTAGAGTCAGGAGCTAGGAACAGAAGCCCAGTGTTCTGATACAGGATGCGTTTTAACCACTAGGATAAATGTTTTCCCAGCATGGTTTCCCAGTGAAATTCCAGACTGCCCTCTAAGTGATCCTATTTACCAGGTCTCCACAGGGTCAGATGTGACGCCTCCTTCTGAGCATCTCTGCTGGGGCCAGAGTACAGCAACAGCCCCCGATGTGTGCAGAAACAACACGAGACGGTGGGGCAGTGAGGAAGGAGACCCTTCCTCAGATTGAGCAGCCAGGCTGTCTCTACACAGGCCAGACACTGGGCCAGGTCTTGAGGGTAAACACGGCACGCAGTAATGGGTAGCCATAAAGAATGTTCTCACTTTGGTTTGAAAGGTAACACACACACACACACACACACACACACACACACACACACATATACACCTTTCAAACACTGGCTCACTTCCCAAATGCCCACAAAAGCTAGATTCAGGCAGGCTAGAATGAAGCCAGGGGTCTGCAATTCCATCTCCCTGGGCAGCAGGAATACAAGTACCCAAGACAGAGAGAATGAGAGAGAAAGATCCTCCATCTACCTCTTCACTCCCCAAATGGCCACAAGAGCTGGAGCTGAGCTGATCTGAAGCCAGGAGTGAGGGGTTTCTTCCAGGTCTCTCATGTGGGTGTCAGGTTCCAAGGTTTTAGGTCATACTCTGCTGCTTTCCCAGGGAGGCAGGAAATGAACCAGCATCCATATGGGATATTGACACTTGCAGACTGAGGATTAGCCAGTTGAGCCACTGTGCTGACCCCCAGAGCCATCATTTACCTACCTGGGTGTGCTAGTGGGGAGAGCAGAATTAGAAGTGGAGGAACCACGATTTGAACCAGGCATTCCACTATGGGATACGATCATCCCCAAATGTGCCAAAAACTCCACCCCGTCCCCCAAGGGAATGTTGTACTAATAAAGTCTATTTCTTTACAGATGGAAGCAGCCTGAATCTATTCGAGATTTCTACAATATTCTTTATTTCTGATGATAACAAAAGCAATAAGTGACTAGAAGATACCTATGAAAATATATCATCGTGCTGGCGCTGTGGTGTAACAGGTTAAGCTGTCACTGTGAACCTGGCATCCTAAACTGAAGTCCCACCTGCTCTACTTCAGACCCAGCTAACACTCCAGGGAAGGCGGTGGAAGCTGGGCCTCTGCCTCCCATGTGGGAGAACAGGATGGCATGCTTAGCACCAGGCTTTAGCACCTAGCTTCACCCTGGCTGTTGTAGTCATTATGGGAGTGAACCAGCAAATGAAGCCCTCTGTCTCTCTCTTGTTCCTGCTTTCTCTTTCAAACAAACACATCTTTAAACATCTTAAAGAATAAGTTCATTAAACAAAAAGAATACATGTGTTCTAACTCAATAAATAGTAAAGAGTAGTTATACTCTTCAATACAGGTTCTCCTTGAGTGTTCTGCTAAACACTACCCCTTTAACTGTTGTTAAACCACTGAGAAAACCACTGTAGGATTAAATATATCTGAACTAATGCCGCAGCGGAGGGCCGGGAGCGGGAGGCTACCAGCAGGAGCCTAAGGTCTTGTGCCCTCAGATGGACAGCACTCAGTGCAGCCACTTGCAGGTCAGTGACGACAGAAAACGGCTGGAAGCGGGATGCAGCTCTGCTGCTGTGTGTGCACTTAACTGGTCAAGTTTCCTGCACTTCTCACTGGACAGGAAGACTTCAGCAATACCTCTTAGCACTGAGATTCTATGAAGCTGACTGGATTTTCTGACCATGTAAAAATATGCAAATAGAAAAGGAAGTGTTTATAAAACTGCAAATAGAAAAGCTTCTTGATGTGGAACTGAGTCACTTCTGCAACTCTGCAAATTGCTTACCTGGAAAGCAGTTTATGTTTTAAAGCAATTTGCTACTTGGTGTCCTCGTCCCCACGGCCCCCTGATGAAGGGCGATCGGCACTGTCAACAACACGGAAATATTCACAGCAGCACATGCCAGCACAAGCCACCAGACTCGAGACGAAGCAGTGGCCCTGGGGCTGGGGCAGGAGGACAGCAGCCGAGGGGTCACACCTGAGGTGACGTGACGCCTTCTAGAACTAGGTGCACACACGCGTGTGGCTCACTCGGGGGCACTCAGCACAAGCTCTGGCAGCGACGTACCAGGCAGCACTCAGAGAAGGATTTTTTGGGAAGTCGTGCAGGAGGAGGTGGGCCCTGATCCCACTCCCAGAATGCCATGGAGTTCTGACAGATCTCAAATTCCCTTGAAGGCTAGCAGGATGGAGAAGTGCCAATGACAGAAAGCAAAAAAATAAAACACACACACAAAATGAACAGAAAAGAGAAAGAAAAAGCAGGACAAGGAAAAAGAGAGAGGCAAAACAGGCATGCATATGATAAAACCACAGCAAAATGGCCAGGGCAGGAAACGGAGCAGCAAAAACCCCAACCATGACATGGACCACACTTCGGCTCCCGAGATGTTTAAAATCATAGATGCAGGAACATACTAACAAAGATGCAGAATTTTGATGTTTCCTGCTTTATTTCTATACATTTGAGTTTAGAAACGTTATTATCTTCTGATTGCATATTTTTAGATTATAACAAATAATCAAAACTTACTTATACTTATCCAAATGTGTAATTATAATTTGTTCTCAAAGAATTCAAATAAAGCATAAGGATCTGATGTGTATGACAGTTTGAAAACACTTTTTTAAAAATGTCAGCAAATCAAAGACAAAGCACAGGCAGACACATCTACATTCAGAATGATAAACGCCGAATTCATCTGCCTACAGTGGATATACTGACCGAAAATGCACCCTAAACTCAGCCTTCATCCGGGCTTTTACATGGAAAGCCTTTTTTTTTTAAAAGAGTTTTATTTTAGGCTTATTAAAATTAACAAAAATAGAAAAATGGTATTTTTAGCTATAAGCACAAAAAGAATTAGTATTTAAAAATATATCTGAACAGTTTTTAAAAGGAAGGCAAAAAAGCCTGCAGAGCAGTGCCTGCTGGGCTGAAAAGGCCCAGCTCCTGGCTTCTGCCCGCACACCTACCTCCCGCAGGTCGCTGTCCAGGCCAACGTGCTCCGAGTGCTGGCGAAGCCGCTCCTTCCGGCGCTGCGTCGTGGCGCTGCGACTCACCCAGCGGCTGCAGAGGAAGCAAGTTAAAACCACTCAAGAAAAAGCTAGCCCTTGCCTTTGAATCGGAAAAACTGAACACAAAAGTGGACAGTATCTACTTTTTAATCAGCGCATTTAAAATATGTTTAAGTTATATGTTCTAAAAAAAGACTATTCCTTTTACTGGAAAGCAAAGTGTGCACAATGTGTGTAGGGGAGAGAGAGAGAATTTTACTCCCCAAATGCCTGCAACAGCTGGTGAGGGTGGCGGGGGGCATGGGAAGGCCAGGCCTCCAATGTGAGGGTGACAGGAACCCAGTCACTTAGGCCACCATCTGCTGCCTTCCCAGGCCCACTGGCAGGAAACAAGTGACCACAAATCAAATCAGGCACTCTGATACGGCAAAGGGACAGCTTACCCCATACGGTGCCACAACGCCCACCTTGTCACATTATTTTGTAAAAGACTGATTTATTTCTACTTAAAAGGCAGATTTTTACTACTTTTTTTTCCACAGAGAGAAGAGTTTCCATCTGCTGCTTTACTCCCCAAATCACTGCAACACCCAGAGAGCTGAGCTGATTAGAAGCCAGGAGCCAGGAGCTTGTGGGTATTGGACCCCAAGGCCCTGGGCTGCCCTCAGCTGCTTTTCCAAGCCACAAGCAGGGAGCTGGATGGCAAGTGGAGCAGCTGGAACACGAACTGGTGCCTGAATGGGATCCTGGTGCCACAGGGCAGAGGCTCAGCCTGGTGTGCCACCATGTTAGTCCCCTCGTAACAGTTGTAAGATTTATTTATTATTTGAAAGGCAGAGAGAGAGAGAGAGAGTGTGTGAGAGTAAAAGAGGGACTGAGATTGATGTAAGAAAAGGTTTTATACTTGACCTTAGCCAAAAGGCTGAGAAGCAATACAAAGAAAGATTTTAATGCCACTGGCTCAGTCCCCAAAGGTCTGTCAGAGCTGGGGCAAGGCTAGGCTGGTGGCGGAGTGTGGAGCTCAATCCAGATCCCCCGTAAGGGCGACAGGGACCCAGGTATTTCAGATTTCATCTGCTCAAATACCTAGGTCCCTGCCCTAAACAGGAAGGTGGAATCACAAAGCGGAAAAACCACTTGAACCCTGGCCCTTGCATCTGAGCTTCCCACACAGTGCTGTAATTGCTGCACCAAATGTTTGCCCACTTTTTTTAAATTTAAAGATGTATTTTTTATTGGAAAGTCAGATATACAGAGAGGAGGAGAGACAGAGAGGAAGCTCTTCTGTCTGATGATTCACTCCCCAAGTGACCTCAATGGCCAGAGCTGCACTGATCTGAAGCCAGGAGCCAGGAGCTCTTCCACGTCTCCCACGTGTGTGCAGGGTCCCAAGGCTTCGGGAAGTCCTCCACTGCTTTCCCAGGCCACAAGCACGGAGCTGGATGGGAAGTGGAGCTGCTGGGATTAGAACCGGCACCCATATAGGATTCTGGAACATTCAAGGTGAGGACTTTAACTGCTACGCTATGGCGCCGGGCCCTGCTCCCCCTCCGCCTTTTTTTTTTTTTAACAGTTTTACTGAGATATAACTAAAAGACCATATAATTCACCCAGCACAAACACAGCACAATCGCTTTTAGCAGATTTCCAAATATGTGCAGCTGTTGTTACAAGTAATACTTTTAATAAAAAAAAAAAGTGGAATTTAAAAAAAGGGGGGAGGCCAGCATGGTGGCGTGCAGGCTAATTCTCTGCCCTATAGATCCCACATGGGCACCAGTTTGTGTCCTGCGTGCTCCACTTCCTATCTGGCTGTCTGCCTTTTGCCCAGATGGAGAACCTTTCTCTACGTCTCCTCTCTGAAATGCATGCTTTTCAAATAAAAGTAAATTAAAAACAATTTTTTACCCACTTTCCTGTAGCCCTTGACCCTTTGTGTGTAATCAACTATGTAAAATTATCAGATTACCAAAATAAAATAATTTAAAAAAATGTTTTAAATAAAAGTTAAGGGCTAGCTCTACGGCCATGTGGCTTTAATCCTTGCCTTGAACACACCTGGATCCCATGTGGATGCCAGTTTATATCCTGGTGGCCTCGCTTCCCATCCACCTCCCTGCTTGTGGCCTAGGAAAGCAGTCGAGGATGGGCCAAAGCCTTGGGACCCTGCACCCGCGTGGAAGACCTGGAAGAAACTCTTGGCTTCAGATCAGCACAGCTCTGGCCACTATGGCCACTTGAAGAGTGAATTATCAGACAGAAGATCTTCTTCTCTGTCTCTCCTTCTCTTTGTGTATCTGATTTTCCAATAAAAATAGACAAATCTTTAAAAAAAATAGAAGTTAGGGAATAGATACTTGTCCTAGCAGCTAAGCTATTCACGATCCACATCAGCACAGTTCAATCTCTGGTTTGCATCCCTGACCCAGCTTCCTGCGGATGGAGTCCTTGGGAGCCAACAGGTGATGTGGGTGATGGCTCAAGCACAAGACAGACCTGGGCTGAGTTCCCAGCTTTTGTGTTTGGTCCAACCCAGCTCTGATCATTGTGTCCAACTGGGGAATGACCTAGCAACAGAGAATTTTCTTTGACTTTATCACTTCCTCTCAAATAAATCAGTAGCATTCTGGAAGAGGTAACACACTGAATATTTGTATACACTAACAAGTCAGATCTTAATTTAGTCCCTGTTTACATTAGGCTTTTAGTTGGGATGCCTTGGCTTGCTCAAAGTAAATATAAATTTTTTAACACAAAGGAAAATTAAAAATGCATCATTTAGAATTATTTAATTCTAGTGTCATGCAAGAATAAAACAAATTTAGGAACATTTTTTTCTAAACTTCAGATCCAAATCAATAATTCCTCATCTGTAAGGTACAAGGCTGAACTTGCTGCCCCTGCGGTTCCTTGTGGACCTGTAATTGCGTGACTGCTCTGAGACGAAAGCCTGTATTTATCAGCTGTTCTCAAAAAACACTAATTACACACTCAATACCAAAACACATAGGAAAAATGACTTTCCTAAAACACAAAGTCGTTTCCATGGGCTCTGAGTTCTACATAACCAGGCCTCTGCTTGTTTCTCTGACACCTGACCTCACGCCATTGCTTGCACACGGTCAGTTAGCAGTGACCTCATTCTGTGATTTATAATAAAACCCTGGTAATCCTGTATGTCTCTGCTACTGAGTGGCTGGCAGCTAAGCTGCCTTGCAGTTCCAATACTCTGGCTTCTACACCTTTTGCGTTTTGTTAACAATTTCATAATAAATATGCCTGAAACCTGTGGGCCTGCCCTGGGCAACATGAGGGGCTGACGGATACTCATTAACCTTTCTCTTACTTAAAGAGGTTTCTGCAGCCAACCTAGCTGTTCAAGTCCAGGGACCAAATGAGAACAGAGAACTCAAACCACCTAACTCTTATCTCTCACAATCACTTGTTCATGTCATTCTCATTCAGCAAAGAGTCAGTTTTCTTCCCTGCTAAGGAGTACTGATTGTGTAAACACAGCTTTACAATCATGGGGCCCCCTAGGTCACAGCCAGGATGTCACACTAAGGTAGTGCCCACCAGAGCTCTGCTACCTTGGAGACCCTAAGCCACCACCATGTGCCGGACTTCCCCCTCTAGCCCCTGTGCCGCACCTCCTTCCTCTCTGGAGTCAGTCTCCCCCTCACCTGCCTGACCCTCACTACTTCTCCACTCTCATATTCCCATGCGGACTACCTCTTGCTGTCCCCCATCTGCCCGGGTGATCTGAAAGCACTGTAAAAGCTCCCCTCAAGTGTCCCATACCGCTGATGTGCCACCTTGCTCCTTGTTTTTGTCTTGTATTCACACTGACATCACGCACACAGAAAAAGGATCTTCCATCTTTCTTGTGACTGCGAAGTGTAAAATCTGGGCCTGGGTTCAAAGTCATTTCTCCCGTCTTTATCGTTGACCAGTCACCTCTTGCCCTTCTCAATACACCCCACCAAGTACTTCCTTTCCTGTATCACCAATTTTCTTTTTCAACCAAGTTCCTTCAGCTTACAAACACGCTGGTCTCCCTCTTCATTCTCAGTGGTTAGGTTTCATTCTCGTGAACAATGCTTTTATATAACTGAACAGTGCTTCCTTCCCAAGTGTTTGAAGTGGGACAGCACTGACAGGTGCAGGCAGTAAGGAGGCCTGGGTTCTAGCCCTGACTCTGCTGCTAAAGCAAGCTTGGATTCCTACCAGCCCCTGACAACAGTGCCATTTGCCAGGGACGAGCTCTCTGATATCCATCACTGCTCCACGTGGCTCTTCTGGGGGAAGACGGTGCCCGAGGCTGGACCTTGGTTCCCAAAGGTCTCTCCCAGTTCTTTTGGGTCCACCTCCTGCCACAGACCCCAGCATAGGGCAGAGGTAAAATCCCACGGATATTCACTGCTCTACTCCCATACATCTTAGATTGTTCAAAATCTGGGGAAGGGGCGGGAGGCTACTAACGGTAACACGGTTTCCAAGGTATAGAAAAAAAAAAAAACACATTCAGCTCTTTATCAGAGGGACAGCTGCACAGTGCATGTGGTGCTTGGGCTCCTGTGAGCTGCCCCTGGCTGTTTCTGGCTGTGTGATCTCAGCTTGTACTGCTGACCCGTTCTGAACTGCAATTGTACAGTGGGTAGGTAAAATAGTAGGTACAGCACTGGGACATGCTTGGCATGAGGGCGAGTGGCCAGGTCCTGGAAGCCGGCAGCGGGAGCTGGTGCCCAGCCAGCTCAGGGGCGGGCACTCCCACTAAGCAGTACCATCACCTCTATCTCCACCCTCTGTTCCTGGCACACAGGAGGCCTCACTGGCAAGGAAGGTCTATCTGAAAGCAGAAAAAAAAAAAAGCTGGAAGGAAGGGTAGTAATTACTTTAAATGAAGCTGTGGTGAAAATTTCCAAATTTTTTGACAGAACTGTAAGGGGTGGAGGCTGATAATTAAAATGCTGAAGGGAAAAGAAATAGCAGTGTCTATAGAAAAGTGTTCCCTTTAATCACACACACACCCCATTTTTTTCTTTTGATGCGTTTGCTTTCTCATATTTGAACCTAACTCAACAGATACTTCTGACACATTTCAGAAACACATCTCCACAAACACCTTCAGTTGGTGTGCTAGGAAAACGAGCAAGGTTTCATTTCTCTAAGGTTATTAGAACTATGGCGCTCGGGACCAGCACTGCGCTGCAGCAAGCTAAGCCTCCATCCACGGTGCAGGCACCCCATATGGGCACCAGTTTGAGTCCCAGCTTCTCCACTTTTGATCCAGCCCCCTGTTGATGCTCCTGGCTCCTGAGCAGCCCAGCTCTGGCAATGCAGCCATGTGGGGAGTGAGTCAGCAGAATAAAGATCTTTCTCTCTGTGTCTCTTCTTACTCTCTGTACCTCTTCCTTTCCAATAAAAGTACTTTCAAAAACCTGGACTTTAATAACAACAAAAAACTATGATACTAAGTACAAACTTGAACGCAAGCATATGCAAATTCTATCAGATATGAATCCCAAGAAATCTACACAATGTCTAACTCCATACCATACTCACGTCATCTCAGACAATTTACCTTGTTATATCTTTTTCTGACCTACAGAATCAAGACACACAACCTAGGAAATAAAGGCAAGGATCAAAAACGTGCAATCTGGCGCACCAGACCCCACAAGAGTAGAAACCTTACTGTTGTAAGCTATCTTCCAAGAACTCTCACGTCACTTGTCATTCACACCAGGCCAGGCAGATCTGCAATCAGGGACTTGTGCTCCTTCTCCCTGCCCCTCGGACACCACGTTATCACTGAAACACTGGCAGCGCCCGCCATTCTCTGCTCACACACCTAGTCTGGGACTTCAGACTTGGAGCCTCTTTCTTTCCCACTGTCCTGGCTCCTTTTCACTTTCATCTCTGAGACTTTCTCACTCTTTTAAGGATTTATTTTAGATACTTGAAAGGTGGAACTACAGAGACAGAGAGAAAGAGAGAGACAGAGTCTTCCACCTGCTGACTCACTCCCCAAATATCTGCAAAAGCCGGGGCTGAGGTACAGCAAAGCCAGAAAGTTTCTTCTGAGTTTTCCAACCTGGATGCAACGACCCAGGTACTTGGGTCCATTGCTTTCCCAGGCACATTAGTAGGGAGTTGACTGGAAGTGGAGCAGCCAGGACATGAACTGGTGCCCATATGGGATACGGGCATTGCAGGCGCAGCTTAATCTGCTATCATTAGAGTGCCAGTTCCAGCTTCTTCTCTGAGGTTCTTTAATAAGGAATCACAAAGGAGGCCATTGTGGCATGGGTTAAGCAGTGACCTCGGATGCTTGCACCCCACATTGGGCTGCCAGTTCACTGTTCCAGCTATTCTACTTTCAATCCAGCTCCCTGCTAATGGGGCTGGATAGCAATACATAAAGGCTCACATACATGAGTTTCTGCCAGTCATGGAGTTTCTACTTCCTGGTTTCAACCTGGCCCAGCTCACCACTGGAGCCATTTGCAGAACGAACCAGTGAATGAAGATCTTGCTCTATGTCCTTCTGCCTTTCAAATAAATAAATAAATCCTAAAAGAAAAAAGAAAGGAACCATAGACACTATAGACTGTTGGAATGTTCTTGGATGAGAAAAGGAAGTGACTCCAACTTGTACAAGGTTCCTATATAGGTTAGTGGTTAAGACTGAATCAAATTCTAGAACTGTTAGTTCCCCATGAAGTTTGCTCTTCCTGACTTACCATGTTCCCCAATATCACTCACTTTGGGTTCTTTCGTGTAAGCCATGTCTTTAATAAAACACCTGTATTCACTTAAAATGAAGAACTCTCTTGATCCCAAATAATCATATTCAGAACATGGACTAGAATCCAGTTCCCTGCTTGTGGTCTAAGAGAGCAGTCGAGGATGGCCCAAAGCCTTGGGATCCTGCACCCGTGTGGGAGACCCGGAGGAGGTTCCTGGCTCCCGGCTTTGGATCAGCGCAGCACCGGCCATTGCACTCACTTGAGGAATGAATCACCGGATGAAAGATCTTCCTCTCTGTCTTTCCTCCTCTCTGTATATCTGACTTTGTGATAAAAATAAATAAATCTTAAAAAAAAAATTCTTGTTGCTTTAAGCCACTGACTTTATGGTACTTGTTATGGTAGCTGTAAAAACTAACGCAGATAATAAAACTCAAACTCCCTCAGTGATACTGTCAGTGTTCCCATTGCAGCTAGAGTCCTTGCCGTGTGGCCAGACCCAAGTGCGCTTTCCTTGTTCTTGGATGTCTCTTTTTATGGCTGATGTAAAAATCACGTGCACCTAGAGCAGCACTCTGTATGTGAGAAAGGCTAATGTGTTCTGATTAAAAGCAGCCTGGCAGATCCGAAGCCCAGGGCTGTGGAGCACACGCCCTTCCTTCCTTCACTCAGCCACTCGGGGGGAGAACAGGCTTACTTGTTATTGGTTGGTCCTGCGGCCAAGACATCGGACTGTAACTTTGGGAAGAATCCTTGCTCGTATTTGCCTTGACCAATTTTCATGTCGAGGAGATGTGGATGGATGGCAGTGTGATCCATTTTCATCAGTCTCTGCTCAATTGACTGTGCTATAAATTAAATTTATAATAAATTAGACACACTTTGTTGCTAAACCTTTACAAATAATGCTTACTCTCTACTCATGCACCTACAGAGAACTCACTCGTCTTGGCACTGTGACACACTTTTACAAAGGCTGTTCAGAAACCAGTGTAATGTGAGTATGAAAAAGTTAATCTTCAGTAAATACTGGATGATTAATTTTCCTATATCTTCTGCTTCCGTCAAAATGACAGAAGGGCTGAAAATTCTGCAATTTGGAACTGTAACAGTTTTCTCTTAAGTGAGAAATTCAATATTGTTAATGAAAATGTGGCCTGAAGCACAAGAGGTACACAAAACAAGGGTGCGTACAGTGTTTCACTGGAACTGAAAGATGATGTCAAGGGGGAAGGGGCGATCAGCACAGTGGCCTTATTGTTTTACATTTTCGTGCCATTAAGACCCCTTACATATTCACGGCTCTCCATCTGTAAAAACAAGGAAGGGTGTGAAGTTTATTAGCTTACTTTTAGCAGCAGTCACATTCCCATTAGTAGGGGTCACTTAGGAGTGTTTATTAGATCAAGAGGGAAGGCAGAGAACAAACAAGTAGGCATCCAGAGAATGTCCAGAGGATAAGAAACTGGCCTTTTGCAGGAAACAAGCGACAAGCTGGGACTCAGTCGATATCCTGTTTTTAGGGATGTTAAACTATCAAACAGTGATCTATTTCTCTGGTTAAAAGAACTTGTCATCTTCTGGGCTTCCCTAACTGAAACTTCAAGGGAACACACGCTACCCAAGAGCCAACCTTGGCCTCCAACCTTTGCCCAGAGATGGCTACAAAGGAGGAGAAGCAACAACTGCGGGCGGCCAACACAGAGATCTTCCCACAGGGCTGCCCATCTTGTGCAGTTCATTGTGGTCCTTTCTGACACTGGCAGATTGAGTCCTGCTGGCCACTCCCCAGACACTTTCTACAGCTTTTCAGGGGGATGGGCCGAGGAGGCGATTACCCTCGACACTGTACTCTTGGTGAAAGAATATTAATGTCATATTGTGTCAGATCACAAAGTGGCTCCGCCCACGCCAGCTGTCTGTTTTGATGGCAGGACTACAGATGGTGCCCACAAGTTCCTACTATCCTTTATGACCAGAAGTTCAAGATGCTACATATGTACTTGGAAGATTCCCTCATCTGCTCTCACAACCCAAGGGAATCTAGCCAGAATCGTGCTGAATTTCACTGTTATTTTTTTTTTTAACATGCAACTTGTAACTTCTTGAACAGTACATTCAATGCAGGGCAAAAGAATGCTATATATTAAAATAAAATGCTATTTAATTTGCAGCAATATCCCCTAGCTCTTGGCAACCCTGCTAATATTCTCTATACATACTAGTACCTAAATAACAAACTAGTGGACAGCTTGGGCAAAAAAGTTCCTGGATTCATAGCACAGATTTCTCTGGAGTTCCCGCCAATCTCATATTCTGTGAAACACTACAAAATCCCATTTCTGCCAATGACTATTTCCGTCCTTGTGAAAGGCAGAGGGAGAGGTAGAAACAGTTTTTTCACTGGATTTAAAATGAGAGAGAAATCCAACTGATACCAAGTGGTTCTCTTATCCTTCAGACATTTTTAAACAAGAAAAGCTATGATCCACAATGAATTACCCTCGGGTTTACTTTTTAAACAGTCACAGGGAGTAAAACCCAAGGCTGCGGTTCAGCGAGTATACCGCCAGTGGCCACTCGGCACTCAGGAGTTATTAAATGCCTGCTTTGAGAGGTCGGGAGTCTACTGTTAGTCTTCTAAGGTTTGTGCCAACGTTCATGTGGTATGATAGGTGAGGAAAAAAAGAAAGCCAAATTACTATCAGCTGGTTGTCTCTCTGCACAGAAATCATGAGGCTCTGGGGCCACAATATCAACAGCAGACAGCCTGTGCCTAAGGAGTTCACCTGCAAATCAAAATCCTTTTCAGTTAGAGGCAAAGCAAAAGCAAAAGCAAACAGCAAAAGAAAAACAACACACAACAGAGGATTCAACATTACCCACATCTACAATCCCTGCAGTGTTCTTTCAGGGTGGGGTGGGGACAGCGATTTTCCCTAATAAATGAAATTCCTGCCTTGCTGAGGAGAGGCCAGCACAGTCACATACAGCTGCCTCATTCTATCTTAAAAAAATTTTTTTCTTTGTTTGATCAACTAAACTCCTAGAAGATCACCACATCAGCCCCAATTACTTCCTGAATAAGTCAAATGACTGCACATTTTCCAGAATATTACATACTTTCTGTGATGATAGTGAGAGCATCATTATCTTTGGAAGGTTGGAAGAAAACTTACTTTAATGGGGATGACTTCAGAATCCCACAAATGAAGGAATCAGTGCTTAGCTCTGCTGCAAAGATCCTCAGGAAAGCAGGCATGAAACTGGCTCCACAAGCCCTTGTCCCATTCACGTGGCCCTTGAAGCCCCAAAACGCAGGCCTTTGAGCAAGCATGGGCAACGTGATTCACACTAACACCCCAATTTTCAGAAGCACAGAAGGGGGTATCACTTCTTGCAAGGTTCTGAGGGCCCACCTTACGTGAGAGCATACGGGGTGAGTTGCATAGAGCTCTACCCAAAATTCATCATTTACATACTTCCTAAGTATGCCAAAATAACAGCATCACCATTCCTGGGCCTCTGGTCTCTTCAGAGAGTAGGACAGACAGGTAAGTAACAGAAGCCCAGGGAAGAAGCATCACTTTCCTTCTTCAGGGAGAGGAGAACAGCTCTCAAACACAAGGAAGGGGCACTCAGATAACAAGGGAATAACTTGGCATCAGGGTTTATGGTCTCTTCAATTTGAATTCAAAAATTCAGATTCAGTTTTAATAGTACTACTAAAGCAGATGCACTGTTTCAGGCAGCAGCTCAGACTCAGTATCTTCAACAAATACTTGCCTTACTCACAGAACAGAAGGGGAAAAAAAAAACCACCCTACAGAATGAAAGCACTTGTGCCTGTTTTAACCATGAGGCTAAAGTGAAAATTTATTCTGTAGTATACATAGTCAAAAACATGCAAATTCAAGGAAAGATCATTGAAGGGGCATTTATCCCAGTGGTTAAAGCAGTGAGGTTGCATATCGTGGCATCTGGGTGTCCACTTCTGGCTTCTGATTCTAGTTTCCTGCTCACACAGACCCTAACTGGGTCCTTGCCGCTCTGTGAGAGATATGGATAGAACTCCTGGCTTCTGGCTCTGGTCTGGCACAGCTCGGCAGGCATCTGGAGGCTGAACCAGTAAACAGGGGCCTTCTCTCTCTCTCAAATAACTTAAAAAAGAAATAGACATGACCCATGCCAATTCCAAAAGGCATAACAAATGTACCTGCTTCTTTTAAAGTGCTGCATTTCTGATATATGGATGTTCGCAAGGTAGGTGCCCTCACATTATACAGTCTTCTCTTCTCAATCCGAGAGTCAAAGACCCGAAGCAAAGAGTCCTTCTCTTCCCACTGAGACATGATTTTATTATCGATAAAGGTGGCAAACATCTGAGTTTCAATAAAGCGTGAGAGAAATGGCAGGTAAGGTTCAGGCTGGTCACACAGAAAGGAAGCCTGTAATGAGATAATCAGCAAATTGTTAGTGCAAAGCAGCCACCTCAACACTTCGCAACAAACCTGAAAGTCAGCTGTTGACGAGGTCACTGTCTTTCATAGTACCAAAGCAAACAAAGAAAAAACGAAACAAAAAAACCAAAAACTGACTTTAAACACATAACTCTTGAAAGCCTGCCTCCCTAGTTAACAGAATTCAGATCAGTTAGATTACTATCACTGATCCTTATCTTTCAAAACCTGATTCCCACTGTGATCCTCACGACCACTCCATAGAAAACAGGGCATCATTAAGGCACAACTTGCCATCCAACTGCCTGCCACCCACTTTACTTTCTCAGTGAGATATCATTTTGTCCACAGTCCATGCTTAGTGTGCAATGCACCTCCAATATCATAAGGCAAGGAGACGACGAACTGATACAAACAATAACCCCAGAAAAAAACAACAGCATGGAATTCGTGCTTACAGATGAAATCTTTACCTTCTTCAAACTGATGTTCTTCTAAGATCTATTTCTCATAGATTGACAGGTGGGTGCTAGCTCAAGATTACACAAGTCCCAGACCTGTGCTGACCCTGACAAACAAAGCACTGCTTGAAAAAGCCACCAGAGCTAAGCTTCTGGAAACCACACAGCAAGCAGAGCTTTCCTGTCACCAGCCTGTCTGATGCAGGGAATGCTTCAGCAGGTGGCAATCTGGACCCAATCTAAAGCGTTCATTTTCCCTGTTGTTCTTCAGGTCCTTGTGTATACAGGAATTCTAGTTCCAGTTTGGGCACCAGCTTAAATTTAGAAGTGGAGTACTATTTTGGTCTCACTGAGTTCCTTTAGCTTTTCATTCTTTTGATTAGATGCAGAAGTCAAAAGGGGACACATAGAAGGGCAAGTTCTGGCAGTTCACTTTAAAAAAAATGTATTTTTATTGGAAAGGCAGATTTATAGAGAGGAGAGACAGAGAAAGATCTTTCATCTTCTGACTCACTCCCCAAGTAGCCACAACAGCCTGAGCTGAGCTGATCCGAAGCCAGGAGACAGGAGCTTCATCCAGGTCTCCCATGCAGGTGCAGGATCCCAAGGCTTCCCCAGGCCACAAGCGGGGAGCTGGATGGGAAGTGGAGCAGCCAGGTCATGAACTGGTACCCATATAAGACGGTGGCACTTGTATGCTGAGGATTAGCCATCATGCTGGTCCCCACAGAAGGCCATGTTTTAATTAATACTCATCATCTTCCTAGCATATTTGCTTTTCACTCTGAAATTTAGGAGGCCTTTTATGAACTTCTTTATAGAAGAGGAGAATACTCCCTTAAATATATTTACATAAATCCAAATAACCATAAAAAGATACATAGTAATCTCTAAAAATCAGTTCACTGCTCAAAACGCATTTTACAGATAAACATCAACTTCATATTTTATAGAGCAAATAGCCTTTTAAAAATGGGGCAAATAGTTGGCTTCTGACGTTTAGACCCCCAGGGGCTAAAATATTTAAAGTCAACAAAGCTTTGGCTGACAGGACTAGAAAGTTCTGTAATTTTTCTTAGTGAAGAAAGGGATGGCTGTAAGACTTCTGAAATCCCATACATAATTTTCATTTCTTTAGGGGTTACAAGAAAACAATTCCACTTAAACTTTAAAGCAACATAACGAAGAGTAAAGCAGGGGGACCCATTTTAGATAAGAATCTGATTTCTCCAAGGGTAAATCATGAATGTCTACAGATGAGAAAGAAACTTAGTGGCAATTCTACTTTTGAAGTAATGAAAGACTTCCTACCATTGAAGGTTTCTCAAATGTAAGTAACACTAGACCTTAAAGAGTCCAATAGAATATATTCTCTATCAGAAAAGTCAGCTGAGGAAATCAGAAATCCCTTTTCTTCACAGTGCCTACCCTCATGTTCATGTTAGCTAACGCTTACTTGTCAGGAGTTCCCTGACTACAGAGCAGCCTCTTGGAAAGCGTCAGAGTCCCAGAGGGTCTTCAGGACACAGGCTAGCACAGGAAGGCCACCATACATCCTACCAAGGCACATCCTGACGTGCAATCACACGACCAGCAGCCCAACCTGTCTGCCCTTGTCTCCCTGACTGTTTGCACCCAGGAAGAGGCTGGGGACTCCTAGGGATGGGGGCAGACATGCCGGCAGAGAAGACGGTGAACCTTACAAGTGGCTCCAACCTCAGCACGGCAACCCACCACTGGTGCCATTCTCTGTCTTCCAAAAACATGAGCAGAGTCTAACACCAACAGTCATAAAATTGGCTGTGGGGACACCTTTTTCTTCTGTTCCTAAGATGAGTCAAAATCTGGCTTCTATGTGGTTAAACTGTGACTTCATTATTAGATGCAGACTGAATAGAACAGCAAGGATTTCTTAGTAGACTTCATGACAGCAGTGAATATTACCCTTAAAGATCAAATAATGTCACCACTTTGAAAAATCTGTGAAATGTTAAGGGTGTCAATCATTCAAGCCTCTTCAAAGTACACAAAATTTAGAAATGGTATGACGCGTAAGTTAAAACTCAATGTAATGATCAGCTTACTGAAGTGGTCAGTTTCAAAGTTCTGTATCTGAAGTATTAGTAAATAAAATGTTCCAATGGGATGGAAAGATGGAAAAGAACCTGCATTTAATAAAATGTACCCACGGTCATACAGCACACTAAGAACCTTAAGGAAGGGAAGTGTGGTTCTCATTACTTTGTCAAAGTTCTGCATCTGCTCTCGGTTGGTGAGCCAGGACTCCAGGTCCTGAGCAGTCTGAATCACAAAGGCTTCGTAATCTGCAAACATCTGGATAAAGCGGTTAGCGAAGACCTCGCGGAGCTGCACATTTAGCTGGTAGTCCCTGAGCTCTGCCTCTTCACACTGCAGTTTGGAATCCTTTTCTTTTTCTCCCACGGGAGAAGAGAGCTCCATCTCCTCCACAGTCACGCCTGTCCGCTGGGCCAGAGCCTGCAGGCGAGCCATGGTTTCGTTGCCCTTCAGGAGTTCATACACGCTGATGCTATTCGGGGAGACGTTGCCATTCTTCTTGTCGTTGACCAGGTCTTTCAGAACCAGGTTCTTCAGTTTGGTGTTGCTCTCACTGCCGTGCACGCTGCCCTCGGGAGGGATGCCGAATTGAAGCAGGACTTCTGAGAGCTCCTGGATAAAATCCGCTTTGTTGGGAAACTGCGGGAATTCTTCAGGCAACTCAATAAAATGGTTGTCAATATCCACAAAGCACAAATTAGCCTAAAAGTGAAAAAAGGCCAAAAGTTTAAAAATAAAGTTTAAGTTCTAAAATAAAATATTTTTTTGCCAACAATTACAAATAAAAGGATAGGTTACACTGCCTTCATTCCAAACTCTTCCAGGCTTAGAAGGCTTTTACTCATTACTTTTAAAAAATTCATTTAATTATTTGAGAGAGAAAAAAAGGTGAGAGGGAAGGAGAGGAAGAGGAAGGAAGGGAGAGAGGGAGGAAGAAATGGGGGGAGGGAGAGAGAGAGAGAGAGAGAGAGAGAGAGAGAGAGAAATATTTTCCATCTGCTGGTTCACTCCCAAAGCGGCCAAGCCAGCTGAGGCTGAGTCTACATGAAGCCTGGGGCTTCTTCTGGATCTCCCTCATAGGTGCAGGAGTCCAAGGACTTGGGCCATCCTCTGCTACTTTCTCAGATACATCATTAGGGAGCTGCATTGGAGAAGAGGAACAGCCAGGGCTCGAACTGGCACCCAAATGAGATGCTAGTGCCAAGGCAGAAGCTTTACTTGCTATGCCACAGTACCTGCCCCTGCTTTCATTCTTTTAAAAAGGCATGACTAGACAGAGAGTGGCACCTGCCAGCATGTGTGTGCACTAATTAGCGGGGCTGGTTGGGCTGAACTAGGCTTCAATGCCCATTGACAGGTATGAGAGTTGAATGGGATGTGGGACAGACTGAACCAGTCTGCTGTACATACTGACAGGCATGGGAACCAGGACAGGGGGCAGGCCTGGTGGGGGTTATTGCAGGTCGCTCTGACTAGGCTGCAGCTCCCACTGGTTTGTATAAGGGCCAAGTGTGTGATGGGCAGGATCAGGTTGGGTTCCAACACCCATTGGTCCGTGCAGAAGACAGGGCTGGAGGCAGAACTGATCCAGCATATGCATAGGCTGACTGGAGACACGGTCTATGCTGGACACTGTACTGGCAAGCAAACCCAAGAATCTGGTCTGGGATCACTTCAGAAGAAGTTTCTTTCGGGATCCCCCCAATCGAACTGCTGGACTCAGAACCCCAGCCATGAAAAGAATTGCAGGTTCCATGGTCTGACCATGGAGTTTATGTGTCAAAGCTGAGCCTCCTCATTGGCTCTGTAGGAGCAGTGGACGGCGTATCCAGGTGCATATGAAGGATATGGTAGTACACTGGAGCCTGCAGAAGATACCTGGTACTATAACAGAGGACAGAACAAATTGATCAACTACCCCAGCCAAGTGCTGGCAATGAAAATCTGGGCAAGTGGAGATGTTAAGGTAGACTATGTCAGCCAGCGGATTCTGAAGAGATCTCATTATGCTTGGAATGGCAAGACTGGCAGCAATTCAGAGCAGCTGAACTATCCAAACCACTTGAGCAGTGCCCTCGGAGCATGCCCCACACAGAGGACCTTGGGATGGTTGGGAGGGTGGGTGTGGCTTCTCCCTTTGTCTCTCCCCTTCCCCCAGATACAGGATGGAAAAAAGAGAATGTGGAAACAATGGTCTTGCCCGCTTTCCTGTAGCCCCCGACCCTTCAAGCCCTAATCAACTATGTAAAGATCATCAAAACAAAAAAAAAAAAGAAAACACAAGCGTCCTGGGTACGCATTGAGCACAGCAGGTTGAATCAATGGTCTGGATGCCAGTATTTCATATCAGAGTGCCTGGGATCAAACCCTGAGTCCATTTCTGATGCAACCATGCCAATAACATACATGCGAGGCAGTCGATGATGGCTCATATACTTGGATGCCAGTCCATAACACAAACTCAATGAAGTTAAGGTGTTGGTCCAGCCCTGTCTGCTGAGAGAACCTACAGTGTGAAGAAATGGATGGAAATCTCTCTGGTTCATGTTAGATGGCAGTGGGAAAGTAGTGAAGTCCCTCATAATCTTCCTCTGTCTTTCAAATAAATAACAATAAACTTTAAAAAAAAAAAGGCCTTTTTTGGGAGCAGTACAATAGCTCAATTGGGTAAATCCTCATATTGCAAGCTCCAGGATCCCATATGGGCACCAGTTCATGTCGTAGCTGCTCCATTTCCCATCTAGCTCGCTGCCTGTAGCTTGGGAAAGCAGTGGAGGTTGGCCTAAAGCCTTGGAACCCTGCAGTCATGTGGGAAAGCCAGAAAATAAGCTTCTGGCTCTTGGCTTTGGATCATCTCAGCTCTGCATGTTGAAGCCATTTGGGGAGTGAACCAGTGTTCGGAGGATCTTTCTGTCTATCCTTCTCTCTGTAAAGCTACCTTTCCAATAAAAATAAATGAATCCCTCTTTGCTACCATTTTACTCCCATGTGAGTATTTTTATGACTTGTATCTGAATACTTTTCTCTGGGTCTCAGCAGTTTACTATAATCTGGACATGATTCGCTAATAAGTAAGTAATTAGACATTCCCGAGTGGGTACAGGTGCTTGTTTTTACAGGAGCTTACAAACAGGTAACACTGGGTGAACTGCCCACTGAACAAGCAGGAATTGTATCTGCCAACTGTCCAATGCTGTAACAATTCCTGTAAATTAGAAGTGATGATTGATGTTTAAAATTAGTAGCTTTAGTACTTCTCGATGGGATAAAGCTAGTAAAAATTAATCCAATTCAGACAATCCACGCATTTTCACTTCATCCTAGATCGGCTGATTCTCCTGAAAGGGTAAAGGCATTTCAGAAGTCACAAGAGAAAGAACAGGTGGCAGGGTGAAAGGGTGTGTAAGAGTCAGACAACCGCAGGTGACCAGCGTCTGAAGATTACGACTTGACCAAGATAGTTCTGAGCTGATAAAAACTGATAAAAAAAAACCCAAAAACCAAAAAACAGAAATCATAGCAAATGGTTTCTGAACCTGGTTTTGAAATTTATTTAAAACAAAAAGATGTTACATTTTTCAAGTAGACCTGGGGAAATCCAAGCGGTTAAATACCTTCATGAAAGTCTGATTATTCCCCAGGTACCTGACTACAGCAGATGCCAAATGCCCACCTCCTCCTACTTAACTGAAAGATGGCAGTAAAAGACTGTGCTGAAGGCAGAGTGTGTGGAGGGAAAAGTTAGGCTGTGCTGCAGCATCCATTGGTTTATGCATGAGATGGAGCTGGGAACAGAACTGACTGGGCAACTGCAACCACCAGTGTGTGGGTAGACTGATACTGGTGATGAACTGAGCTGGACCCTGCACTGGCGGTCACACACAGGAGTCACATCTGGGGACACCTCTGGTGAGGTTTCTTTGGGCACCCCCCGCCAATAACAACTAGGTCCCTAAACTAAAAAAACTCCAACCATGGGAGAAATTAAAGGATCTGTGGTCTGACTATAAAGTGCATCTGTCAGAACTGGGCCTCCTTGGTTGCTGAAGCCTGTGCAGTAGATGGCATGCCCAGATGCACATGGGCGACATGATGGATCATTGAGGCCTGTGGAGGACATCTAGTACAGAACAAACTGGATAACTCCAATTCTAACTCCAGGCTTTGACAGCAAATATCTGGTCTAGGGCGGACTATGTCGGCCAATGGACCTTGGAAGGTTTGCTTCAACCTTGGAGCAATAAGTCAATGTTTCACAGCTATCAAAACCACTTAAGCGGTACCCTGGGAACATGATCCACATCAGGAATCCCAGCATGACATCAAGTGGCTGTCACTCATCCTCAGGTGCCAACGTGGTTAGGCTCTCTCCCCCACTTGTCCCCTTGCCCCCAGATACAGAAAAAAAAAGGAGACATTTGTCTCATCCATTTTCCCCCACTCTTGGACTCACCTCACCCTAATCAGTGGTCCATATGGGTATACATCCTTCTCAACTATGTAAACATCATCAAAAATAAAATAAGTTTTTAAAAAAGGAAAAAAAGACGAAAATAAAGTAGGAAAAAAAAAACTGCTTCTAGACTGTGGGAGGGGAGCATCAAAGATACAGCCATCACATAAACGTGGTCCCATGCACATGAGTGGCTAAGGAAAACAGCAAGTGAGGCGGCGGTCGCTAAACCAGAGGATACACGCCAGCTCTGCTGCTCTCTGCTCCTCCCAGGTCACACAGGAGAAGGCACCCCACCCTCTGCTCCTCACTATCAAGATTCTGGCAAGGGGAAATGCAAACAGCTGGGGCTTTGTTTCCAGCTTTTCATTCCAGCTTTTCATGTCATGGGACAATGAGCAAGTAAGTGGTCTAGAGCCACATCGAGGTCACCAGAAATTCAAGATTACTTTCTATCCAAAGCCAGATAAGCAATGAGGATCCCTAGATCCCAACACCACCTTTGAACTGAACCCCTCCTCAGCTCCTGCAGGGCAGAAATTCAGACTCAGCACAAGCGCAGAGAGCGGACCTCCTGGCACAGCTCCAGATGCGCAGCTCCACCCTGGCAGTTTACAACACTTCTCCCTACCCCCAAGAAAGAGCTGAGATGTCACATCTTGAAGATGATAATGTCTTCAGGGCTTTTTTTTTTTTTAAAAGTCTACATCTTTATGCTTGGTTTTAGTCTCTACGAAGCAGGACACAATTTTTATAATGGTCCTTCTCAAAAATAGGTTTTATTGATTTGAAAGGCAGAGTTAGAGACAAAGAGGGAATGAGAGAGGGAGAAGGAGATCTTCCATTTGCTGGTTTACTCTCCCTAACAGCCACAACAACCTGGGCTAGCTCAGAGAGAAGTCAAGAGCCAAGAGCTCCAGCCATGCTCCCCATATGGGTGCAGGGGCCCAGGTTCTGGGGCCTTCTTCCGTTGCCTTTCCAGGTGTATTAGCAGGCTGCTGAAAGTAGAACATCTGTGACTTGAACCCGAGACCACATGGGATGCAGGACACACTGAAAGACTTCAAAGAACAAAGTACACTCTCCCACTAAAGCTGTCACTCATTTCCACGCTCCACATAACTCTCAGGCCTGCTTCGAAGGGCCCAGATTAGCAACACTGAATTTCACTTCTATCAGAAAGGCTCAGAAAGTATTAGTGAAAGGTGTTTAGTCTCATGGTTAAGACGGTGGTTAAAATGGGAGTATATGACTTCATACCCAGCTCTGGCTCCTGACTCTACCTGCTAATGTAGACCAAGGGAGGCAGTGTGAAGAAAAAAGTTTCTGTCACCTAAGTGACATATCTCAATGGAGTTCTTGGCTCTTAGCTTTGACTGCTGTGGATATTCAGGCAGTGAGTCAGAAAAAAACATTTGTGTCTATTCAAAAAAAAAAAAACAAGACTATTACAAAAAACCATTATAAAACAATCATTTTAGGAGCAAATATTTCTTTCTACCAATCAACAGGAATGCAACTATGACATGTAAGTGAATCCTTAAAAATACCAGCTGCCTGAAAGTAATTTCAGTTACTTTAACAAAGGTTTAAAAGCTTCTGCCACGGAGCCTTCCTATGCCAGTACCCCAAAGGTATGCTGATCTCCGCAAATTTTCATTTCTTTCATTCCTCTTACATGTTAAAAAATGGTTATTATTACTAAATACAAGTGTTTTTCTTTTTTGTCACTGAAAAGCAGAAACCACTTTTTATTTATGTTGATGTCTCCCTCTGTATTTTACAGACATAACTGGCGAATGAAACAATGAGCCCCACGTAGACAATCACTTTGGGGAACCCCCAAGACACAGGCAGGAGAACCAGAGAATGCGAGTGGGGAGCTGGGAACTGATCGAGCTTCCCAGGATTTCAAGTGGAGTTATCACGAGGGCAGTCCAGAGAGAACATTTAAAACATGCCATCAGGTCAAGAAACAACAAAAAACAAGCGGTAAGACAGTTCTGCCATTCTTTTCAGACTGTGTTTGGTCCACTGCACGCTGCAGAGGTGGGAAAGCCAGGAGAAAGGCAGGCAGCACTCTGAAGGCATCTTCAGGCTGTGTCCCTCCGCCCCTCCTCCCAACTCCTTCCCTGAAAGCAGACCAGTGTGGAATCGCAGAGAAAGGCAGTGGGTGGTTAATTATAAGTCTGTGTAGTTACATTACGTAGCTAACAATGAGAACCATACCTTCTTAAAATAATCATCTCGTAAACCTGTCCTTTTTACAACTATTTTTAGAAGCCCTGCAACTCATTTCAGTCATATTTTATTTTAGAGAGTTCAGGGAAGCAGGGAAGCATCACTAGTGAGTGCACTTAAGTCAGTTTTTACAAAGGGCTATTTTTATATTGACTTCTTCCCCAGCATTATAGGAAGCAGATTATTTCACCTTATTGTAAAATGACCTCAGAGCAAAGTCATGCACTGCTAGTCTTTTTTTCTTTCCCAAAAAACCGACGATGGACTAATTTATACTTTCCACATATGAGCACTGGTATTTCCACAGGTGACTTAGGGCACCGTGTATCACCTTACTCTATGAATACACTGGCATATGTGTTTACTAAATGGAGACTCATGACTGAAAAAACCAGGAAAATAGAGTAGAATCGGAAGACACGATTGATAGGAAGGCTTCCAAACTCCCAGTATGGCAGATGACGTTTAAAAATGTCTCGCCAATTAAAGCCTGCATGAAATGAAAACATATTTATATGTTTAAATAAACAATCTTAAGAAATATCACCTGTAGACTTTTATAAAATTGATCAGATACTCAATAAGAAACTAAAACATGTCATTGTTAACTCTTTAAACACAGTTGATGGGACTGGTACTGTGGAGCAGCACGCTGATGCTGGCATTCCACATGGGTGCTGGTTTGCGTTCCGGGTGCTCTATTTACAGTCCGGGTCTCTGCTAAGGGCTTGGGAAAGCAGCAGAAGACTGCCCAAGTCGTTGGGTCCTTGCACCCATGAAGAGACCCAGCTGGAGCTCCAGTTCCTGGAATGGTCTGGCTCAGGCCCGGCCACTGCACCCATTTGTGGTATGAACTAGGAAGTGAAAGGATCTTTTTCTCGCCATCATTCTGCCTTTCAAACAACTCTTAAAAAAAAAAAAAAACCATAATTGACTAGTTTAATTTTCTTGAAAATTTCAAGTATTTATTTTTTTTGAACCAGTAAGATATGAGATTAAAACAAAAAACAAATAAATTCAGGGGGGAAAAAAGAGGTAAAATTAGGAACGCTTGGTTTCCCTGCACCCCACCAGAAAAACCCAGAAGAAGCTCCAGACGTTTGGCTTTAGCCTGGCCCGGTCTTGGTCACTGTAGCCATTTGCGGAGTGAACTACAGAGGGAAAATTTGTCTCTGTCTTTTTTCTGTGTAAAATTGAATCAAACAAATTAATAAATCTTAGAGAGAGAGAGAGAGAGGGACGGTAAAGTTGCCAGCCAATGGGGTGGCCTTACTTAAAAATAAAAAAAATAAAAAGAAAAAAGAAAAGAAAATCAGTTACTGTCCTGCTGCGGTTGCCATCTTCCCTAGCCCCTCAAGCCCTTGACTGGAGAGTCAGAGAGAATGGCCATGTGCTCCTGCACTCCTCAAAATGTCCTCATAGCGGGGGTGGGCGAGAGGACCACAGCTAGGAGCTCAATCTACCATCTAAGACATCGCTTCTGCCTCAAAGAGTCTGCTCCAGTGGGAAGACAGTGTCAGGAGCTGGCGCTGGGAATAACCTGGGCACTTCGATGTGGAATGCGGGCTTCCTAATTGCACAACTGCCCTCTTCTGAGCCACACTTTGTTAACGACGTCACGGCAGTAACCGTCAGGACTGTGCACTTCACAGCACAAGTTCTCTCTCACCGTTTTTGGGAGACTGAGCAAAGTCAAAGAGACAAAGATGACGCTACCTAACGGAATAGGCCTTCACCTGTACCAACAAACAGCCAATGCTTTGCAGCTTCACTGCTCATGCCAAGTTTACCTCTTGAGGCAGTTCTAGTTTAGAACGGTCAGTTCCTTCTTTCGACTGAAGGCCCATCAGATAAGGGACAGGGGCATCAAGGAAATGCAGCAAAGAGGCGGGCAGGATGGGCACATACACGTGCTGCCACTGAAACGGGAACAGAAGCGTGGTGATGCCTTCGGCCACCGTCATGAGGCGTTGGTAATCTGCACAGAAGAGAAAACAGGGGAAGAACCCAAGTAAAAATACGATCATTGCAGTTTACTTGAAAATGCCTGTTGGCGCAGAAAAAAAAAATTCTGCATTAAAAATAAACATTTCTTCCTGATTACACAAAACTGACTCAGTTCTAGTCCACCACAATTAAAGCTTTGCTTTACAGTCTTCAAACAGTGTGAGTAGGTAGGAAACGTTATATTTTTTTTTGCTTTTTAAAATCACTAGTACGAATTCTCATTCCCTGAAAGCATACAAGAATCAAGAATAAAACAAAACTGCTTTGGCACTTGGCCCACTGGAAGTGAACACGGCGCTGTGCTGATCACGCTGTCCACACGTGCACTTAACACAATTCCCAACTCGGGCAGCTCTTTATTCTTTATTCTTTTTTTTTTTCCCCTGAAGCTTTGCAACTTTAATCAGTTATTTCTCATGTACACTGACTGCAGATTTCTGAAAGGGGTAACAGGTACACAGGTGACCCAGGTGCACTTGGCTGGTGAATCTCTTACATTAAATTCTCACATTTTCTGCACAGTCTCACCCAGATGCAAGCAGGATATTCATACACCTTTGGCCCAGAAAGCTTTGTTGAACCTGCATCAATGAACATATCTGGAATTTCCATAACTCTTTCTCTTTATTTTAAGATTTATTTATTTTTTTTGGAAAGTCAGATTTAGAGAGAAGGAGAGACAGATAAAGATCTTCTATCCACTGGTTCACTCCCCAAGCGGCCACAATGGTCAGAGCTGAACCTATCTGAAGCCAGGATATAGGAGCCTCTTCCAGGTCTCCCATGCAGGTGCAGGATCCCAAGGCTTTGGGCTGTCTTCAACTGCTTTCCCAGGCCACAAGGAGGGAGCTGGAAGAGAGGCAGAGCAACTGGGATATGAACCGGCATCCATACGGGATCCTGTTGCATCCAAGGTGAGGACTTTAGCTACTAGGCTACCATGCCAGGCTCCCCCATCTCTTTCAAGGAAAATCTAGATCTCTGAGTGCCAGCGGGGCCAGCTTCTTCAAAACCCTTTCATGTATGCCAATGTGGAAGTTAATGGTGTACTCTCAGGTCACCTCTTCGCTGATGGCACAACCGCCCTCTTCTCGCTGCCCTTCTTGTAAACCCACACTGGAAAGGACAGGCTTTGCTTTTGCATATATGATCATGGCTATAGCGTTGGTTGATCATCTTTCTTTATTTTTTAGAATTTTACTCATTTGAAATTCAAAGAGAGAGAGAATCTGTGGATTTAAGTCCTCAAATGTCTGCACAGCTGGTGTGGGGCAGGCCAAGAGCTGGGAACTCAATTTGGGTCTCCCACATGGGTAGCAGGACCCAAGTCCTTGGGCCATCACTGCTGTTTCCCTGCACTGGCAGGAAGCTGAAACTGAGAGTGCAGCTGGGCCTCGAAGCCAGGCACTCTCCATATAGGATGTAGGTGTTCCAGCTGGCATGTTTATTTTAGTTGTCATTTTGCGGGCACAAGAGATCAACAGAAGGGCACAATCATTTGTATTCATATTCAGCCCTGACTACACAATGTCCTGTTAAGGAACAAAGAGAGCTATGAGGGAATTACAATTGGGTTTCACTGTCGCTGTTGCTGTATTTTATTTACATTAGCTAAGTCACTGAAATTAAAAATTGTCCATAACACTAAAGTGTTCTTAAGCATTCTGCCTCGGTTGTTCTACACTTGCGTATGTCTACAATCACTATTTAAACTCTTATAGGCAAATATTTCACAATTCACATTAAAAATTACATTTAAAGGGGCAATATGGTTTATATATCATATATCTGAGCACTCAAGGGCAGTTCCTTGCTGTCAGCTATATCACTATTTCTACAGAAATTCATACGGGTGACCCAGTAGGGCAGAAAAACCGGAGAACACGGTCATTTCAGTTGAGGTCTAGTTTTGCTGATGAATAAGCTACAAAAAACAAGGCATAGTTTCCAGATTTTGTTTTTTTTATTTGAGAATGGAAGAAAAGTGATGTGGAGTCATTGATAATTCTCTTCAGAAAACACTGTGCACAAACACAGTAAATCAAGGGGAAGACTTTCGGGGGAGTTTTGTGAAGAAGGGCCAGGAAAGTCCACAACAACTCAAAGGTCATTTGTGGGTAACGCAACATATTTTGCTTTAAAAAGTTTACTGTTGGGCCCGGTGGCGTGGCCTAGCAGCTAAAGTCCTCACCTTGAATGTACCGAGATTCCATATGGGCTAGCTCCGGTTTGTGTCCCGGCAGCTCCACTTCCCATCCAGCTCCCTGCTTGTGGCCTGGGAAAGCAGTCGAGGACGGCCCAAAGCTTTGGGACCCTGCACCCGCTTGGGAGACCCGGAAGAAGTTCCTGGATCCTGGCTTCAGATCGGCATAGCACCGGCCGTTGCGCTCACTTGGGGAGTGAATCATCGGACAGAAGATCTTCCTCTCTGTCTCTCCTCCTCTCTATGTATCTGACTTTCCAATAAATAAATAAATCTTTAAAAAGAAAGTTTACTGTCATATTATATTTTCATTTCATTTTGTAAAGATTTATTTGTTAGATTTGGAAGTCAGGGTTAGAGAGGGCGACAAGCAAGAAAGGAGGGAGACACACATACACACCCCAGAGATCTTTCATGTGCTGGTTCAGTCCACAGATGAGTATATCAGTTCAAGTTGGCCATGGCTGAAACCAGTGCCAGGAGCTTCTTCTGGAGCTCCTATGTGGAAGCAGAGGCCCAAGCACTTGGGCCATCCTCCACAGGCCATCAGCAGGGGGCTAGATTGGAAGCAGAGCAGCTGGGACAGGAACCAAAACACATGGGATGCTGGCACTGCAGGAGCTGGCCTTACCTGCTATGCTACAATGCCGGCTTCCGTTTCTTATTTTATACTTAAAAAAAAAAGATTTATTTTTATCTGAAAGACATATATATATAGAGAGGGGGGGGAGAGGGAGAGAGAGAGAGAGAGGGAGAGAGGGAGAGAGCGCGCGCGAGAGAGAGAAAGGACAGCCACAGAGAGAGAGAGAGAGAAATCTTTCATCTGCTGATTCCCCAGAACACCACAACAGCCAGAGCAGACAAGCTGATTCAAAACCAGCAGATTCTTCAGGTCTCCCTCATGGTTACAGGGTCCTAAGGACTTGGGTCATCCGCTGCTACTTTCCAAGGCCACAAGCATGGAGCTGGATTGGAAGTGGAGCAGCAAGGATACGAACCAGTGCTCATATGGGATGCTGGCACTGCAAGTGGAGGAGCCATTTGTGGCATCACTGCAGCAGCCCTAGTTTTTATTTTGTTTTTTTCAGGATTTATTTTCATTCAAAAAGCAGAGTAACTGAAAGAGAGAGACAGCAAGAGAGAGTGGGAGAGTAAGAGCAATAGAAAAGATTTTCCATCTTGGGTTCACTCCTCAAATGCAAACAGTTGGACTGGGCCAAAGGCAGAACAGAAACTGACCCACGTTGTAATTTTAATAAGTCATTTACTATCCATAACCCAAGTGATGTCAATATTTTCCTTATTTGATTCATGAAGACTCAAATTTTAGGCAAATCCTTATTTATAGGAATACTTCTGAAACAAGCACCAGGTGTTCTAAAGGGAGGGGTCAGCTGACCCAATGACCTGGCGTGGACGTGTGCACACACAGAGGCAATCACACACACCCCAGGATCAGCAGAGGTGCCCAGGAGAAGCCTGGCTGAGACAGCTGGTCCTCTGTGAAGGCGATGGGAGGTGGTGAAAGAGGATGAGGCAGCTACGGCTCTGCTGGCCTCTGGCAGATGGGTGGGGGGAGGCGGCATCTGCGGTCTGGCTGCCCCAGGTTCAGGAGCAGTGCTCAGGTCAAAGCTAACTACTGTTCTACACAGCACAGGGCCCCAATGGGCATCTGCTCATGGTTGGTCTCTTACGCGGGCACTCCCCAAGGGCACAGTGACATCTGCTTTTACCTCACTGTGCCCACAAAACACAGGGCTTAGTCCACAGCCAGTGCTGACACAGATTTACTGATGCTTCTAAATGTAATATTTTTTCTCCTCTTATTGACACAGAACAACAACAACAACAACAACAAATCAGGAGTACAAACAAGGCTTGTGAGTATAAAAAGATCAAAATCAGAAAAAGTCCTTAAATTCAATTCTGTGGCCATTCCTCTGTTTTTAAATACATTTTTATATTGTTTACTTTTTATAAATATGAAATAGAAGTACATTTTCTATTTACTTACCTTTTAATGTGAAAGGCAGAGTGACACATATAGAGACAAGATTCTGTTTGCTAGATCATTCTCCAAATGCCTGGAGCGGCTGAGGCCAGGAGCCAGAAACTCAGGCTGGGTGTTTAGTGGGGCTAGAGAGGGCTCAGTCCTTGAACCAGCACCTGCAGGCATACCTCCCAGTGGCTGTGTGGGAGGAAGTTGCAATCTGAAGCAAGGCTCGACCTCAGACCTCAACATCCCCATTCCGGGATGCAATGAAGGCATCTCAAGGAAGACCTTCACGGTGGAATCAGGCACTCACTCCTACGGCCTCCGTTCCATTCGAGGATTGGGCTACTTTTTGCTTTTGTAGCCTTATATCTAGCATATAATAAATGCTCAAGAATTTTTTTTAAAGAAATGAGTGAATTAGTATTATAAGGATATATGATTTTGCTGATATCCATTATGTAAAGTTACCTGCTTACGTTTTGCCTGCGTAAGATTAAAGGACCACTCATTCTATAAGATAAAATGGTTTAACTATTCAGACAAGAAATTCTTCTCAAAACGCAAACAAAAACTTTCCACACTGCTTAGGATTCTCATGTTCAGAGCTAATCAAGTGTTTGTGCAGGCCCATTGTAAACAAAGCCCAAACATACATGTACCAATCAAGGTCACTGTTCAGCATGTGAACTGTTACTGCATGACGCACTTGGCCACGTCTAAGCACACCTTACAGGGAACAGGACAGCATTTAGAAACAAAAATATTAACATTT